CGTAAATAAAATTATAAATTTACATCTTTATTTATATGTATAGCTTAAACCTAATTTAATAAGCATCTCGTATTAATATTATTTAATTTTTGAAAATTAAATTCATAATTAACTGAAATATATATATATATATATACTATTATACTTATCATAATTTGCATATATAATTAATTCAAACTAATTTTAAGAAACTTAAGAAATAACTCCACCCAAATTTATCAAAACTTTGATTTTAGGAGAAAACTTGTGGTTTAAATTCAAAGTTAGGATTATATTATTTAATTAATTAATTTGTTGGTATATCCAATAGATTTTGAACACGTGTCAATTAATTAGTAATTATATTTTTTTAATGCGTGCCTAAAGTTCTCCAGTGTAATGTTCAAGTTTGCACGAGACATTAACTAAATTTATTTAAATTTTATTAGTGTGCAAATTGTCGTATTGTATTTTTATTTTTTAAAAAAGAAATTTAATCTTATAGTGGATCCAATTACTAATTATTTTTCTTATATTTAAATTATTAATTTTTGTCTTTATTCATTTAGCGGGAGTCTACAAATGCAAGGCTTACTTTCGAGATATTGGTCGGTTTTTTTTTTATAAAAAAAGTAAAAGATATTGGTCGATGAAAGTCTCACATCAGCTAATTTAAGGAATGATCATAAGTTTATAATAAAAATATACTATCTCATTCGATGAAGCCTCTTGAGAAGCGCAAAGCAAAACCTTGAGAGCTTATACTCAAATTAAACAATATAATCCAATTTTGGAGAGTCGTGGTCATCTAACATGGTATAAGAGTCATGCCCTAAACTTAACCATGTCAATAGAATTCTCAAATGTTGAACAAAATTATTGAGCCTATATCATACCATTATGTTGGAATTCACCGTTCTTATAGAGGGAGAGGTGCTTTCATATCTTTTTAACCAACCAGGAATGGCAAATGGTTGGGGAGAGGAAAAGTTCATTTTTTTAGGGTACCCCTGGGAACAGATCCAATGGAGACGGAGTGGGGCCTGTAGCTTAGAGGATTAGAGCACATGGCTATGAACCACTCGGGTTCGAATTTAATTAAAAAAAAAAAAGAAATATTAAAATTTTTATTGGAGGAAATTTGGTAGGGTCTATTTCATTTAATTTATTTATTCTACGCCATATTTATTCATCCATCAATTTGTGGTGTGGAAAAAAACAAGTTTATTTTGTTTTTAAAATTTTTTCAACCATATTTACCTAATTATATTCTCCAATTTTCTCTATTTTTTTCTTTTAAAAAAATTATTTTTACATGAAAATAAATAAATAAATAAATAAATATTGTCACACAAAAATAAGGCGAAGGTATAGAATATATATATATATTCTCTTATTTTCTCTATTTTTTTTTTCTTTTAAAAAAAATTATTTTTACATGAAAATAAATAAATAAATAAATATTGTCTCACACAAAAATAAGGCTAAGGTATAGAATATATATATATATATATATATATATATAATTTTTCTTAATGGATAAAAAATTTAAAATCCCTAAAATACCCCATCTCTATATAATCCCACCACTCCACTCCAATCTTTTAACCACCGCAACAAAAGCCGGAAATGAAGAACTTACCACTCTATTTCCTCCGATCACCGCCGTCTCTCCTGCTGCCGGTGTCCGCCGCAAACTCCTTCTTGGCTCACCTCTCCTATTTCATAACCCTCTCTCTCATTGGCTATGGATCTTTAAAGCTAACCAAAACTAGAACCTCCGCGGCCCCAAATGACCTCAACATTTTCTTCACCTCGGTCTCCGCCGCCACAGTTTCGAGCATGTCTGTTGTCGAAATGGAAGTTTTCTCCAACTTCCAACTCCTCATCATCACAACCCTCATGTTTCTCGGCGGCGAAGTCTTCCTCTCCGCCGTCAGCTTCCAACTCTCCCATCGCAACCAACAAACCAACCACGACATTCCTCACACCGTCGAGTTGGAAAACGAGTCAGCCACCGTCGACGAGCTAAGCATCTCAAAATCATCATTCAAGGTGTTGGGTCAGATTATAATTGGGTATCTTTTAGCGACGAATATCGGCGGCGCGTGCATGATCATCATATACCTAATTATGGTGCCTCATGCAAGGCACGTGCTTGAAAGCAAAGGCATAAATTTCGTAACTTTTTCAATTTTCAGTACGGTTTCTACTTTTACAAATTGTGGGTTCATACCCACTAATGAAAATATGATCGTGTTCAAGAAAAATTCCGGCCTTTTGCTCATACTCGCCGCCGAGGTGCTATTGGGAGGGTGTTTGTATCCGGTGGGGCTCCGATTGGTGATAATGGTGGCGGCGAAGGTGACGGGGAAGAAGGGGTGGAGGTACATATTGAAGAACGACTCGGCGATGGGGTATTCACATCTATTGTCGGGGGTTCGGTGTGGGTTTCTGGCGGCGACGGCGGCGGGGTTCATAATTTTGCAGTTCATTATATTTTGTTCGTTGGAATGGAACAACTCCGACGGGATCTGGGATGGGATGAATCCGTACGAGAAGGTGGTGGGGTCATTTTTTCAGGTCATAAATTCAAGACATACCGGAGAATCTGTGATGGATATCTCGCTAATCTCGCCGGCGATCTTGGTCGTATTTCTTGTCATGATGTGAGTGTTCTTTTCACTTCTAAATTAATGCTGTCAAATCCTCACTTTGATGTTTTTTTTTTTTTTTTTTCTCTTTTTACTCAATTTTCATGAATAATTAATATTTAAAAATGTAAAAATTCTTCCCATTTCACTTTATTTTGATCCAAAAAATTATGAGAAAAGGTTAATTTCTTTTTAATTTTTTAATTTTTTTAACTCCCTTTATCATTATTATTATATGATTCTTATTTAGATTCTAACCGTATTTAGCTGACAGTTAAAGTGATTGGTCCAATTTTATCCACCATGTGTTTGATGTTTTTTTTTTTTTTTGTCACCGACTTTTTCTTCCAAATAAAGCTGTCAATCACACCTGTCACATGATTAAAGTGAAGATATGTATTCAAATTCCACTACCCTAGTGCCCTGTATGATATGCCATAAAAACGATATTGTGGAAGACGTATGTCATTGACTAAAAAATCAGAAATTTAATTTGTCTCTAAATTAGAATGTTGCTATGAGTGGACACGTTAGTAAAATCGATGGAAAGGTATTATAGTGCATTTCGAGCTATACCCATCTGTTTTTTTTTTCCTATCGTGTAGCAGTGGTAGGGTACACCAAAGTATTGCTCGAATGATCGAGCGTTTTAGTGCTTCAAATAGAACTCACACTTAAGAAATAATGGATATTTTATTTACGCGTTTGTTTCTTAAGAGAGAGAAGAGCTTGAATATATTGTTTTGAACTAATTGGGATGCACCCAAGTATTGATTGAGGCAAAGATAATGGGTATTAGGTAAATGAAAGTGGCCAAAGATGATAGCTTTTAAGCATAAACTTTCATATAATACAACGAAAAATATGGCCTTTTTTTCAGGTATCTTCCACCATACACAACTTTTTTACCACTAAGGACTAAGGAGAAAGCTTCGATAGCGAATGGGAATGACAAAAGACAACACTTAGTGAAATTCTTGACGTTCTCACAACTCTCTTATTTGGCTATTTTCATCACTCTCATTTGCATCACTGAGAGAGACAAGCTCAAAAATGACCCTCTCAACTTCAGTGTACTCAACATTGCCGTTGAAGTGATCAGGTAAGTTCATGTACCGAATTCAAATTCGAATTCGACCCATATAAACTAAACGAATGTACTAATGATGAACATGCAGTGCCTATGGAAATGTTGGGTTCTCTAGTGGGTATAGCTGCAAAAGACAAGTTGTGGCTGATAGCTCATGCAGAGAAGCATGGTATGGGTTTGCTGGGAGATGGAGTGCAAAGGGAAAACTTATTCTCATTCTTGTCATGTTCTTTGGAAGATTGAAAAGCTTTAGCATGCATGGTGGGAAAGCATGGAAACTATCATAGGTAGTATTATTATATTGTAATCAATTTAGGTGATGGGTTCTTCATGTAAATAACTATAGAATATAATAATTCGCTGTCCATAGTACATAGTTTAATGGATTAAGAATATGCTTGTTTGTTATTGGACTCAAAAAATATAAAAATATTGTATTGGGTTTTGTTTCTGTATTCTTAAAATAGTCATTTTTCAAAGGAACGCTGAGCTCAAAATTGATATTTCGAAAGTATACGGATATCAAACGAAACTGCTTATTAATTACTAGATTCAAAATCTTACATTTACGTTAATTGCTTGTTCCAATATTTCGACCCCTCCAACAAGCCAAGGATCAATCTTCTGAAATGTTACTATCGATATTGCATCTTTTAAATTCATTGAAAAAATCAATTTCGGTCTTTAAATTTATTTGGGGTTGCATTTAATGAAATACAAAACAGGAATACGAAATCAAATTAATAAAACTTTTGTTAAAAGTTATTAAATCAAACTTATTTTTGTACAATTTTATTAAAATTTTTACTTATAAAAATTAACACATTTATTTAGGAACATGTCGATCAACATGCAACTGTCGAGAAGAATCCAACATGTCGATAAGAGTCGACTTGTCGGCATGGAGGATTTATCCCTTTGGTCTCTCACTATCTTTTTAGTTGTAATATTATTAAATTCTTTATTCTTCATTCTTCATTCTTATTCATTTTTTTCAATTCTTTTAAAGAATATAAAAGTAGTTTTCTCCACAAAAAGGAATACTGATTTATTTATTCAAACAAATCCTCTAAAATTATAAATTTTAAAAATACTCTAAATTCACATAATTAAATTAAATAATTATCTATAACGACTCAGATCCGCTTGAAGATGTTCTTTTTGAGTTTTTCCTTTCGGATTTCCCCTCAAAGCTTTAAAACGATGTCGGCTAGTGAAATGTTTCCACACCCTTAAAAAGGGTATTTCGTTCTCCTCAACCAAGGCGGGATATCACATTATCAATCAAATTTATTATTATTATTATTGCATTCGCAAGTTCAATGTCAAAAAAGTACTTACAAGAAGCTGCCTCCTTGCCTGTAAAAATGTCATGAACAAACAAGATACAAATCTTTAGAGTATAGAAAGAATGAAACGAATAGATAAAGGAGAAGTGGCTCAAAGGATACGAGCACAATCGCCTTGCTCACAAATCAACACGGCCGTCTCGGGGTTTATCTGCGCAGCTAACTCAGGTTGCACCTTCTGATACTCTTTCCTCACGAATTCTGCAGCTTCAGCAGCATAGTCCGCATCTACGAAAGCGATACAACACCCTCTAAATCCAGCACCACTGAACCGCGCTCCACATACTCCTGGTGCTTTCAAGAGGATCTCATATAGTTGAACCAGTGGCTCCGCACCTTCATGGAAATCATTTATTATGGTGTTACAGTTTTCAGCGTATATCAAAAATCCAGGCAATCTCATTCAAGCAAAGAACTAAGGACTCAATGTCATTCAGTATTCCAAATCCAATGGAGAAATCTGAAATTTATTTAACTGAATGATCTGGAACTATAAGTGGGGAGGCTCGTGATGTAAGGAATAGGAGGAATAATTGTTAGAAACCACGACTGTGAGTTCCAGCATCGGTTGGGGTGGAGAACGAAACACCTTTTATATGGGTGTGGAAATCTCTCCCTAATAGACCGTGTTTTAAAAACCTTGAGAGGAAGCCCGAAAGGGAAAGCCCAAAAAAAGACAATATTGGCTAGTGGTGGGCTTGGGCCATTATAACTGGTATCAGAAAAGCCAGACACTGGGCGATGTGCGAGCGAGGAGACTATTCCCCGAAGGGGGTAGACACGAAGCAGTATGCCAGTAAGGACGCTGGGCCTCCAAGGGGGTGGATTTGTTAGGGTCCCACATCGATTGGAGAAAGGAACAAGTGTCAGCGAGGACGTTGGACTCCGAAGTGGGGTGGATTGTGAGATCCTACATCAGTTGGGTGGAGAACGTAACACCCTTTATAAGGGTGTGGAAACCTCTCCCTAGTAGACGCGTTTTAAAAATCTTGAGGGGAACCCCGAAAGGGAAAGTCCAAAGAGGACAATACCTGCTACGGTGGGCTTGGGCTGTTACAACAACTCTCCACAATGATATGATATTGTCCACTTTGAGCATAAGCTCTCGTGGCTTTGCTTTTGGTTTTCCCAAAAGGCCTCATGCCAATGGACATATTCCTTATTTATAAACCCATGATCAACTCTTTAATTGACGTGGACTCCCTCCCAACAATCCCCAACAATTATGAATATTCGTCGACTATAATGTAAAAAAAGACATGATTATTACCAAATCCAGTACAAGATAACACGAAGAAACTAGCAGTTAGACGGAATAACATGGAGTTGTTTATATAATTTAAAAATACCCCACCAAGGAGAGCGGAAAAAAGAAGCTCTTTATATATGAAAGTCGAGGCATACCACATTCGTAGTTTACAATTGAACTTCGCCCAGAAGCCGCAACGAGTTTTCCAAAGTCTTCCAACTTTCCTAAAGCCCAAGCTTCGAGTCCTGAAATGACCATTATATTATAGTTCTGTTCAAGTCCTCGACATGACTACAACTAAGAGGGAAAAAAAAGAATCTGGTACTTGAATAAAGGAAGATAAGAATGGCTTTGCAAACAAGAACGTCTGTGAAAGAGTACCTTGTAAGACCCGCGTGTTTTCTGAGAAATAATGCTCTGCTCTTTTTGCCAAGTTTGTCTCTAATTTCGACTGTACAAGAAAATCCGAATGAGGTGAAATTTAATAAAAAGTTACAAAAATAAAGTCTAAGGTTATCGACAGTTTTGCTAATAATGCTAGACTTCATTATAAACAAGGTGGAAACTGGGTAACATGAGCTGAAATATACCATGCCAACAACAAGAAAACGAATGAAGTTGACCAGGCGTTGCAATTCCATGAACATTGAATAAATGGCCATTCCAGATTTCTTTTCAGTTAAAATTGATTTAATACCCGAATGCATAGAAATCAAATCGATTTTATAACAGCCATTGCTATTTGCTGGAAACCTAGGGAGGGACTATGAAATAAGTGAAACTAAAAGACACTGATGGATGTAGAATATATAGAGAGAAATCCTTGCATCATTGTTAAAATGACATTACCTTATGAACTTCATAAGCTTCCTGTTCAACTGATAAGACGACAAGACTCAGAAAGGAGATTAGAATCAAGGTCATCATACGAGGATTAAAAAAATAACCAAAACAAAAAAGTAAACTATACAAGGTCGGCAGAAATATTACCATTACAAAGGAGTGGCTCCAGATGCGAATTGCCAGACGCACTATAGAATGAAAAACGAGTAATAAATCCCGTTGATCCATTGAAAACAACAGATTTCATATGATACTCATTTAACATGCAAGAAGAGAGAAAAGCCTACGTAAGCATAGCTCGGTGGTTAAGGCATCCTTCCTCTAAGAGGTCTATATTTGCATGCACCCACCAGTCCGCATGAGAGGTAATCTTCTCAAAAAGAGAGAGAGGGGTAGAGAGAGAAAAAGAGAGAAAGAGAGAGAGAGAGGAGCCCCTAATGCATTTAGATCTCAAATTATTGTCCCGGTAAGTCATAGTCTTGTTTATAAACGTCTAGAGATTATCTGTCAGGCAAGGTATGAATTCACAAGTGTTTCCACTAAACCGAGCCTTTACTTCCCTTCGCCATATGACTCCTCCTTGCAGGTATAAGATTCCCTTCGAAATATTTATTCCTTCTCCTATTTACTTTTCCAATGTTCTCGCCAGACATCTTTAGATCATTCTTTCAGCTGCATCCTTGTATCAAATCATCCGATTCTCAATGTACACTGGGGCATTACAACACCGAGAACACCCCAAGCTCTTCTTTTTGACTCAGTCAAAGAGAGTTGCTTACAATAATGCAGGCAGTCCATTTTATTTTTCCCAATTTAACTTCCTCTATTATTCTATAGGTTTCTCCTTTTATATAAATGAAAATTCGAGGCACTTGAAATAGTAACTCAATAAGATATTTTCTCTGAGTATACTATTTCCTTTCTCAAATTCAAGCATTACTTACAACCTCAAAGGTGGAACGGTTCAAAAATGCAAAAGGAAGATGTTCTGATACGAATAGATCAGAACTACTGAAACCCAATAAAATAGGGAGGTCCAGTCAGCAAGAAGGTGTAAATCTTACTTCAGAAGAATTTTCGCAGCCTCTTGACACTCGGCAACGCGGTAATTATATCCAGGGTTATTTGTCAAAGCCTGCTTCAATCCTGAACATGCTAATAAAATTTGGTATTCCTTCTGCGTCTCAGATTTTAGACTGCTTTCCATATCAAGTGGGCGTATAAGCTTGAAATCCTTAGTCTTCACATGTCAAATAATAATCATGAAACAAATTATGGTCACGACTAAAGTATAAAACATGTGACAAGACAAAACTTCGGAAATAGAGATAGAGAGAGACATTCAAACACTCAAAGCAAGTACAGTCCAAAAGGATTAAAGGTTTGCTTCTGAAAGACATTATTGAGATGAGATAGAAGATCAAACAACATCAAAATGCCATTATTAGAAAAGAGCCAGAAGTTGCCTGAGAAACAAGTATTAGGCCTGAGCAGCATAAATTCTGCTGTTCGATTGTAAAGAATAGTCGAAGCAAAAAAGAGTAAAGGTGAAATACCTGTTTCACCATTTCCAAGGCTGATTAGAGGTAGAATGGGAATAAAGGCTACCCAAAAGAAGACAACAATAACCCAGAAAGCTAAAATAAGGTGCAACCCAAATATATTGGTTCCTTTGTATGGTTTTACAGAAGGAAGCAAAATGTTAACACTTACATTAAGGTCTTGTTTGGTTTGACTTTCTAAGGCTTTAAAAGTTTTAAGCAATTAGAAAGTCATTCCAAACACATCCTGATTGTGTCCCCATAATGTTACCCTTTCTTATACATAAGAAACAAGCCTTTTTCCTTTAGATACATATGAAAAGTAAACAAAATGGAAGAACATGAAAAGCACTCCCCATAGGCTAATAAGTACACAGAAACCCACCCTGGCTCAGTACAGATAGTCTATATTTTAAATACACAAATTGTTCTACTAGGTTAAGCAATGTTTATACCTAGTTTTACTTATGTATCATTTAAAGAATATTCCAGGTATTTTTGAACTAAATGGAAAAACTTGAATTTATATACTACGCTTGTTCAACCGACTAGAAAATGGGATATATCAAACGGAAAGGAAAAGCAGTTGAAAAACAGAACTCCTATTATAGAATTAAAATATGAAGAAGCAACATAATGAAATCCAAATATTTTACAGGTTCACACACGCGTGCACAAAAGTGAATAAAGTATTACTCAAAAGAATTAATCTGAAAAACAGAATACAGAAACTGTCTCCTAATCCTAGCCAATATTGTGAACACCAAAAAATCCTTATTGCTTTTTTAAAATAAAGAGCGATTTATTAGTATCACTGTATAAGTATTGAATTTTTGGAATAAACCGGCATAAAAACAAACAAAATCAATAAACCAAGTATATCACGTAGTTAGAAACTTGGAAAAGACGCAAAATGATAAAATGGTAGATGAAATCAATCCTTCTGTACTTTATTATAAGAAATTTTCTAAACACGAGTGGAGGATCAATTCACTACCTTGCAGTTCATATGCAATAGACAACCATAGCTTGAAAGTAATATTGCAGATTGGTCCAGTATGCCATTTCTCAAACCCAAGTATCCATTTTCAATTAGCCTACATTACAAAGGGAAAACAACATATAAAAACATGTGAGTATTTAAATCGAGCATGCATACAAATTTAGCTGCATGCGGTATTGCTTTTGAATCTAGTAAAGGAAATAATTATTTTAACCATCACATATTGATTTGGAAATATGCTTTATTGATTTATTGAGAAATTTGAGAAGCAACTCGACGGTTCATTCATAAATTTTTTAATAATCAACCTCATTGTTATTAAAATTTTTATTAAATAATATTTTCTCAAATTAGCAAAAAATCATACCAACAATTACCTTTTCTAGAAAGCTACATCACCGCAGTAAATGGTTTGACCAATTTTTTATGCAGTTGATTCTTCAAAAGAAATACAAAACTAACCCAAATAATATCACCCCAAGTATTCATCCATCTCCAGAAAATGTCTCGTGTCAGATATCCGGACATTAACTGTTCATCTATAACCTCACCAAAAGCTCACAAGATTACTTGATTATCAATTGGCAGGCTGAATGCTGGTGCTTAGGCAATTGTGCCGTTCCGGCCCCACAAGATGATTTCAAAACAAAGCATGCACTTGAAATAAATTAAATTTAAATTCAAGTTTTCTGTGTCAACGAGTTAAATTTTGAAGTTAATGGAAGGGTGCATGATAGAAGAGCTACAGGAAGGAGATTTAGAAATAATATAACTGTCTTTAAGCTCCACTCTTTTAAAAGCAGGTAACTCATTTTTGTTACCACAGTAATTTGAACATGTAAACTAGCAGCATTGTTATCTCAGAAAGACCAATTGACTATATGCAGCAGAAATATAATCAAGAAATCAAACTACCCACCTATCATAGTCAATATTTTCTGTGGGGGATATTTTTAAACTGTTAGCGTTTTCCAGCGCTAACAAGTAAGCCAATCCAACCTGTCAACCATAAACTACGAATATTAAAACTTGGTTATTGAAGCTGAGGCCTCTTGTATAATCGTATGAGCATCATAATTAGCTTTAGCAATGCAACGTTCCAAGAATAAATAGGGAAAAAACATACCAATATGTGTCTACTTTATTCTTACAATTCAGTCTACTGTATATCTACATTACAGTCTGCACTATAGAATTTGATATTCAATTCTTCCTTTGAAGACTGATAACACAGACTTCAAGTGATGCGGACTGCATACTACCAATTCCTTCGAGACTCAAGCTCATCACTGAAATTTTTTATTTAAATAACATAATAGTCTTTTGTGAACTCCAATTGGGGGTTGTAGGTAACTAGTACTTCATTGCAATCATCTGAAAAGTTTCTTTTTAAGAAATATATTTCACATAGATTTAATCTTAAATCTTATTTCCTTGTTCAAAATGAGAATGATTATCCAAATGTATATCATTTTTTTCTATATAAAATAAGATCATTTAGAAATTCTTACCCATAACTTGTTAATCTAATTTGTTGGTAAAGAAAAGATTCTCTCGAGTTGTGGTACTAAACAAAATCATATATAGTAATTTAATCATATTAACAATCGACCAACTTTAAAGCTGTCAGAATGCAAAAGGAGGCATCAAGAATGTGAAGAAGAAAAAAAAGAATATATACTTACAGCTGCAGAAGAGCTGAGGCCTGAACTGTCAAGACCATCAGAACCACAAATATATCCTACTATACCCTGCAATAGAGAAATAAGTTCTATTGAACTTTTTAATTCTTGATACACACTCCAACCCCAATGTTTACAAACTCCCCGTGCATAATCAGTATTCCAACAACAAGGCACTTATAATAACGGTCCAACGAAACTAACCTATATCCCTAACAAATTATTGAGACATTGAGGATTTCAAGGCAACTAAAAAAGACTTTATGGTAGCTGGATAGCCTTTTGCAGCATGGTACTTCCTACTTAAGTAGGTGGAAACTGAGAAGTAGAGCATTGTATATGATACTAGTTTAAAACAATTTCGTAAGGATAAAGTGATATGACACCTTCTGATAATTCTAATAACCCAAACATTCTAAATTCCAGCGGATGCTTGCAGCCAAAATATTAGGTAATGACTCCAAGTCTCCAAGCTATAAAGCTGAACTACTTTCGCTGCTAATTCGTTTAAAACAAACTAATCACAGAATAAAAGAAAACACTATGCATCACGCAATTTAATATACTCTTTGCCACAGAAAAGTCGCTAAACCCTAAACTAGTTATAAACTCCAAAACAAAGAAAAGTCGCTAACCTGAGAAAGACAATGCTCTTTTTGTTGTAGTGCATATAATGCTCCTTTAGCATACCTTCCCCAGTTATTATCCCCCTCCAATTTAGCATGACCATTTGCAATGGTCTCTTCCTTCTTGTTATTAGAGTGATTTGGATACTGTTTTTCATCAACTCTGCAGTTTCCACGATATAAGTCAATGAATGTTTATTGCAGCAGTGTGCACGAAAAGTTTGCATTTACATACGCCTGTGAAAAAGTAGGCTAATATTGACAGGAAATCCAAAAATTGAAGTCCTACCACATTTTACATCATTCAAAGCAAGCATGATTTTGATTTCTCCCAAATTTTGGGGAAAATACAGAATAACAAACAACTCTAGTTTCAAAAGGGAAAGGAACTCACATGGTGAAACCTTATACATACAATTCTAATCCCCTTTGTACTCAGCTATATAGTGATATAATAAAAGCAAGCAATAAGATCCAAGGAGAACAAATCATACACCTAAGCAGAAAATTTAGAAAGAGTCGAACAAACTACAGTAGAAACTTTCTTTGAGAAAGAACGGATGTAGAGGGAGGGAATGAACTGGTTGGAGACATTCACATTAAGTTAGTGATTATGTTATTTCTAGTAAACATGAATTGGCTTCTTTGGCCTGTTCCACAGGCAATTCACAATCACAGCAGCATTAGAAGATTTCGTTCGATATTGCATGGATAGGATTATTTCATTTCAGCCTGTAGGCAATCTAGTGGTGATGATTTGTTGACATGAATTCAGGAATGAAAGCCTGTAGTTTTCACTTGCTAATAATAAAAGTGTTACTAGGGTTGTTATTGATGCATACTTCTACAAGAGTTATAAGATATGAAAGAAAAAGATTTTAGAGTGTACTGCACCTGAAGTTAACATCTCCTTTGAACTGAGCTGAACGGAGTACAACCTGCAAGAGCTCCAAAAATTGCTTTAAATCTAAATAGGACGGAAACTTGGGTTTCAAGATAAAAATATGTTGTTCTTGCACATATTATTCGTGAAGAAATATAAACAGGTAGAGATCAATATCTCCATGTGCGGAGAAAGTTTAAGAGCTGAAGTTGAACACCCCAAGAAATTAAAACACTAACAATATACATAACAACCATGGTTTTAAAAATCAATTTAAAGCAAAAGTAAATTGTTGTTATGCTACCAAAAGAGTGATTGTCACACCGAGAACACACTAGAGTAGTACACTTTTACACTTTGGTACCAAGAAAGGAGTTGTATTATAACGGCCCAAGCCCACCACTAGCAGATATTATCCTCTTTGAGCTTTATGGATTTCCCCTCATGGTTTTTAAAACGAGTCTGCTAGGGAGAGGTTTCCACACCCTTATAAAGGGTTTTTCGTTCTCCTCCCCAACTGATGTGGAATCTCACAATCCACCTCCCTTTGGGACCTAGCGTCCTTGCAAGTACTCGTTCCCTTCTCCAATCAATGTGAGACCCCCCAATCCACCCCCTGCACATTGCCTCGTGTCCACCCCCCTTCGGGGCTCAGCCTCCTCGCTGGCACATCGCCTCGTGTTTGGCTCTGATACCATTTGTAACGGCCCGAGCCAACCGCTAGCAGATGTGGTCCTCTTTGGGCTTTCTAGGCTTCCCTTCAAGGTTTTTAAAACGTGTCTGCTAGGGAGAAGTTTCCACACCCTTATAAAGGGTTTTTGTTCTTCTCTCGAACCGACATGGGAGCTCACATATATTCTAAAATCTAAGGAAATATTTTCCAGTACTTACCATGATTACCAATAAGGTAGATGGCATGATCAGATTAACTGAACATTGATTTTAAATTGCCTTGATGTAGGAACTACTTGATCCATGGTTCGATAAAGCTGAAACATCATAGTCTATTTACATCAATTCAAAAACAGAACACATTTCAAGCCATCTTAACGTTGCTACTATAAAGCATCAATAACCCAGTTTTTGTGTGGTCTCACTCACTCTCAAGTCTATCAACGAGTCCTCAACTCAGTAAGAGTGTCCTTACAAATTGATTGAAGAACAGTTTCTTTTTAAGGCGCATAGTCAGTAGTTGATCATCACCTTCCATGCAAAACATAACAGTCAATGGGATCTATGCTTATAGTTACCGTTGCAGGTTTTATTATCAAAGTTCAAAACTCCACACTTTTTCCTTATAAATGTCTGTTAACGATGTTTTCTATGACTGCATCAAGGCGCTGCAACCATATGCAGATATAAACCAAAACATTCTGATTTCACCATATACATCGAAAATAACACAGATTTAAACCCACATGTGAGTAGCTGTTTTAAGGCAATAAAAACCCTATAGTAATGCTACATGCTTTAAAAGATGCTACTAGTCTCTCATTTGAGATTCATGAAATTGTAATTCAAATGGCTACAGAGAATTTTATAATGGCATAATCATTACCTGAGCATCGCCAGAAGGAACAAATCCTAAAAGCACTCCCTTATTTATGGCCATCGCTGAAACATTCCCACCCTATCAACCAACAGAAGAGTTCAAAAGAACTTTAATGTCATCTTCTGGTTCCGTTATTTACTAACAATGTAACCCAGGAAAAATGCCGCTACTCTTATTGAGTTAACAGCACAAATATGAACTTCAACGAGATGCAGATGCAAATTTTTAGAATCATCATGTCGGACTAACCTGATGATCAATATGAGCTCCCAGTGGACAAATGCGATACGGAGAGACAACTATGCGAACGTCCTCCATACTTCTCTTGGACATTTCCGAAACAATTGCCTTGATTCTATTAAGCTAAAACAAACAAGCAGATCAATTACAAATGAACCATGAGAGATCCAATATAAAATCACAAGAGATTAAGATTTATGCCAGGAACAATCTCCCATTAGATCCCCATACTAGCATTGAGCTAACTAATGATGCACAGATCCAATACAGAATATACAAGGTGAATCAAAATCAACATCCGAGCAAACACGTACAGAAGATCAACAAAAGTTTCCAGCCATAAATTATTAAACAGAACACGCATAACACCAGCGAAATCATTAAAACAAACATCAAACAATCCAGAAACCAGTGAAATCCAACAGAAACTAAGCGAAAGAGATTCAAAAAAGCAGAAACAACATGGAACCGCATTGCAAATTGAATAGAGGTAGAAAAATTACCTGTTTCTCCGAAGGCCAAGACGGCTTCTCCATGCTCTGCAATACCAGAAAAAACTTGCCGCCGCGATTGGGTATGTAGGACAGCCAATTACGAGATTTCTAAGGTTCTTCAGAGGAGAATGATGAGTAGAGCTGACGAAAATGCAGAGCGTAATAATAATGGAGCTGGCGATAGGATCGGGTTAAACGTCTTGTCTCGTGAAATAGCTATCGCCTTCTCCACAGCCTAAACATGGACGAACGTTTGGCTGTAGTATCTTATTCGATCGGTTTGACGCGGCTGGTACAATTTTGCTTCTCGCTTTGTCTTTTTAACTGTATTCTAATTTACGCGGATAAATCCTTCGTTGCCCCCAAATAGGGACGGTGTAAATTTACCACCNTTTATTATTATTTTTTTTTTTTTTTTTTTTTTTTTTTTTTTTGCTATTATATATTTTAAAATAATTATATATTTATAATACAGGTTGTTACCCTATTTTCTGGTTGATCAGATCTACCTTATCAAAACAATGTTAACTTCACCCACAAATCGAGTTAAACTCTCATGGTATGATATTGTCCACTTTGAACATAAGCTCTCATGGTTTTGCTTTGGGCTTCCCAAAAGGCCTCATATCAATGGAGTTAGTATTCCTCACTTATAAACCCATGATCATTCCCTAAATTAGCCGATGTGGGACTTTCATCATCCAACAACATGAACATCACTTGGATTGAATAGTCCAGATTGATCGAGTTATCTGGTTACATGAACACATTTGAAAAAAAAAAAATTAATACATTTAAAAAAAAAAATTGTGTCATCACATGCATACATATAAACCTAAATGAGAAAAAAATAATTAATATTTAGGTAAGTATGAAGCATTTTTTAGGAGAATATATATTTTTTAATTTAAAAAATTGAAATAAATGAAAAATAATTTTCCTGGTAACTCGCACGTGTGAAGGTGGGGAAGAAAGGAAAGTGAAATAATAATCTCTTATATGACCAATAAAAAAATGCCACGTTGCAAGAAAATCTGATTAGGCGCCAATATTGTTTATATGCTAAATAAAAAAAATAAAAAGATGAATGGGGCTTTATCTCCTCTCACAGAGGAATAGATTTTTTAAATTTTAAAAATTGAAATAAATGAAAAATAATTTTCCTAATAACTCGCACGTGTGAAGGTGGGGGAAGAAAGCGGGAAAGTGAAATAATAATCCTTATATGACCAATAAAAAATGCCACGTTGCAAGCAAATCTGATTAGGCGCCAATATTATTTATATGCTAAATAAAAAAAATAAAAAATAAAATGATGAATTGGGCTTCATCTTCTCCCTCAGCGGGGCTTTCCAGAGCTCTCTAGACACAGCCAGAGAACAGAAAGCCCTTTTCCTTCTATGTCAGCGGGCTTCTTCTTCAACTGTTCTTCCTGTTTTTCCTTCTAATCTATTGCTGCTTAGTTCATCGAAGTTGGTCGGAAGGGAATCAAATTTTTCAACAACGGTTCTGTTTTCTGCGGTGGGGAAAGGAAGTCGTGTGGGAGCATTAACAGTAGAGATTTGGGGGAGGATTTCTTCTTTGATCGGAGATGAAGATGAAGATGAAACGAAAAGATCTCGATCAATTTAACGACGAGTTCTCGGAATTCTCCCTCTCGTCGCCTGCTAGGAAGATTCGCCGTCTGGTACCTTTTTTTCCCTTTCCGATTTTTGCTTCTTTCAATGGAGTTTGTAGAGCTTTGTGCTGAGAGTTTTTTTTTTTTTTTTTTTTTTTTTTTTTTTTTTTTTTTTTTTTTTTTTTTTTTTTTTTTTTTTTTTTTTTAAATTCCGATTCTATCTAGGATGTTGGTTTGCCGCCTATTATAGAAGAAGAAGAACCGCCAGAAGTTGCTGTTTTAGGCAACGAACCATTGATGCCTGAAAATTTCGTAGTAGGTGGGAATGGTCTGAGGATTGAGGAATTACCGGACGCTTCTTCTGTTTCTGCTTCAGCTTGTGCTACGGGAGATCGTCCTTTCCACGACAATCATGAGAGGGCTATTGTTCTGTTTAATGCTGCTAATACGCCTTTCTTGCAGTCATCTCCTTTTTCGGTCTCTGTCGATCCTGACATTATTTCTGGCTTGAAAAGTAAGTACTGATTTCAATTTAGTTTCTCCGTATTTTTCTCATTTTCGTTTCGATTTCTGAAACCTACATTTAAACTACTTAGCTTCTAAGCTGATCGTCTCTCGGAAGTCTCATATTGGATTGAGGAATAACTTTTCTTAAGAAAAATAAATATGAAAGAACAAAAGTGTTTTTAATCATTCTTGCTTGGCGAAGAGTAATTGTTAAGTTCCAGTCGTTATTATCTCAAAATGGGATCATGTGGAATAATTCTGATCTCCATGTATCTGACAATTATCAGGCAAAATTGTTCGTGAAAATTGTTGTGATGGTCGGCTGAAATTTGGCGAGACTGAGAACAAAAATCTGGCTGTTGTTCCTTGGGTTCCGCGGCTGCAGGTTCCTGCTACCACAAACATGGATGTCGCCCAAGAGGAGGCTCCACAGTTGATGGAAGCTGAAGAAGAAGTTGGAGAGGCAACAATGGAGGTTGAAGATGAAAATTTAAGCAGCCAACGGGCTTATGGATATGGTGGAATGGATGGAGCTAGTGCTATACATCAATGGCACCAACAGCACTGCATGATTCAACAGCTGCCACAACAAACGTCCTCGCCCATAACTTGGTTTCGATGATGGTATGTACATAGTGAAAAATAACATCTCTTGATCTCATGAGGTTGTTAGGTAATAGGATAAATTTGCAGCAAATTTGAATTGAAAAACATATGGGTATAAATATATTTGCCTTGTTGCCTTTGCTCTTGTGTTCATCATCATGTGGCACAGCTTTTCTTAGGAAGTGGTGGTGCTTTTGCATGCCTCTGTGCAGTTGCTCTGTTGAGAATTCTGAGCTCATGTACAATTTTTTTCTCCTTTTTAGAACTTGTTAGCATGATTTTAATGAATCAGAGTTATCTACTTGCTGTATGATATCTTGAGTGAGAATGGTTTCAAATTTAGATGGGATCATGATGGTATCTTGAGGGAAAATTTCTAGTATTACCATAGCATGTGTTCTTTTTATTCCTAATTTGATGTGTCATTGGATAATATATTATTTTATTTCACGCCATTTTCAAATGTTTTTTTGATGACGAGCGATGAAATGAGGTAACTCTGGGGGATAGAGAACAATGATTCTGTCACAAAAATGAAGACATTTGCCCTTCAAAAAGAGAGGCAAGTATTGGTGACTTTTGACTTCAAAAAGAAAGCTACTTAGTAGCAGTAGCTTTTTCCACTTTATAAGCGGGACTTTTAATATCCTTCGATCATTGGGTTGATTTCAATGAAAAAAGCTGATTGTATTCCTGAGTTGAGTGTCACTCATATACTTCGTAAAGGCATAATAATTGTCCTGTTATTTATGAGTACGGCTCACTGCAGATAGGGTGAATGAGGCAGACAGGTTAATCCATTGTGTGGTAGAGATAGTAAATTGATCTTACTTCTCCACCAAAATCTCCGGGAAAGTTTAGGAATTTATTTGACACAAAATTATAAATAGATACGAAGATAAAGATTTAAGAATGGTACAAAAGGAAGGTTAGTTCCATAACAATCAAAGAACAAATATAACTTTTACTGCTTTCAAACAATACAACAACACCTACATTACCTGGAAAAGTAGGAAAAGTAAAATTTAGAAAACAAAAACTCATTGCCAATAAAGGCACAAGGTGATACCTATACGATTTGGATGTTTACATGCATTATATCAAATCGTTGTGTTGCTCACAGTTTTGAGTATCCAACTTATCTATTCTAGCTGCAGGTTATAGCCTACAATGAAATTACGAAGTTAACTGCCATGTCAAATTCTGCTGAAGCATTCTTCCAAAGGGATGTAATTCCTTCCATATTCTAAGCCTATCTTCGTGGGGAAAATTTGTACTGAAGATCTTCAGAAACAAGAGTTACCAACAACCACATTCCTAATGCCGAACAGTAGTAAGTAAAAATTGTAAAGCAAAAAACATTCAGTCGCCACATACGTATTTCTTCTCTGCATAATATTTCTTCTCGCTTTCCACTTTTTGGGCATTGCGTTTCTGCATTGTAAATAAACCAGACAGCAAAAGTCCAACAGATGCATCAGATTAAGCACTGGGTTATAGATCAAAATGCCAACAAAGGGTCTGATTAATATAATGGGCGTAATCCAGTTGACTTCTAAAGGTATTCTTTACTGACAACAGATAGCATGTTCAAATTTTTTCTATGAAACTACAGAGATTACTTGTTGGAGTTTAGGCTCCAGAAATAAGAGAAGTATAGAGCGAGTACCTTAAAAGCATCGTGATTGGCCACTATCCTTTTGGCTATTGAAGTAGTAGTAATGTTTTTAGGGCTTTCAAGCGACTTGAAAATTCCCATACTCTTTGGAACGGCATATGGATCACCGTCGCTCTGAAACAGATGAGCTCACCTTGTTAAGGTTTTGTAAATATGAACTTGAAGAAAAACAACAGTAGGAATAGCTCTACTTACGGCAAAAGGGTTGTTTTCAGCAACAGTCCCATGCACAACCAAAGATATATTGAAAGTAGTTATCTGCCAGCAAAATAATACGGCAGTCATAAGAACTTCACGGTCACAAGCAAAAGAATGCTTCAGTCATAGCAACTTACCATGTCTCTCGTAATTTCCCAAGGTGCACCGATGATCACCTCATCGACGTACTGGCAACCCAGCACACCGAGACTACGTTCATGTAAATGCATAATTGGAAATTGCTTCCCTCTGAGTTTACTGCAGGTGACAATGAGTTATTTTCTACTTTTCCACTCGTTGACATCCAAGGTATAAGTACATATCAATAATCTCAGGAAAGTATTCAAAACATCTGAAAGAGAGAAAAACCAGATAGTAGAAATGTACAAATAGGTAAAATCTTATGAACGAAAATAAGTACCTCACAGTCTGATCATTATGTATGCCAACTAGTAAAAAGTCTCCCAGCTGCCTAGCACTCTTGAGAATCTGAAAAGATAAAAGATGATGTGATGACACGATAGTTAGTATTCCTGAGAAACTATTATGTTACTACTAATTAGCCAGAGAAGCGCAGATCAAATTCATACATAATTGAATTGAGATAGGGGAAAAGAATGTAGAGTAGATTCGATTGCCACTGTCCACATTAAAAGAAGGAAAATGTTGCAAATGTATAAGCATGTCATTAACATTCCATCGTAGCTCTCAAATAAAGCACACTAAGCCAGTTGGATCTCTAACTAATCCCACCTTCAAAAATGAAACTAAGACAATCATTTTGAAGATATATTCCTGCTATCTTTTAATCATTGTCAGACTCACACCACGTGTAAGGGTGTGGAAACCTTTACGCATTCTAAAAACTTTGAGGGGAAGCCCGAATGGGAAAGTCCAAAGAGGATAATATCTGCTATCAGTGGGTTTGGGCCATTATAAATGGTATAAGAGCCAAACACTGGGCGATGTGCCAATGAGGAGACTAAGCCTCGAAGGGAGTGGACATGAGGCGGTGTGCCAGCAAGGACGCTAGACTCCGAAGGTGGATTAGGGGGATGAGCGGGCCCACATCGATTGGAGAAAAGAACGTGTGCCAACAAGGACGCTGGGCCTCGAAGAGTGGATGGATTGTGAGATCTCACATCGTTTGGGAAGGAGAACGAAACATTTTTTATAAGGGCGTGGAAACCTCTCCCTAGCAAACGCGTTTTAAAAATTTTGAGGAGAACCTCTAGGAAAAACTCAAAGAGTAGAATATCTTCTCGCAGGGGCTGGGCTCTTATAATTTCCAAGACTTCAATAGTGAAGGCTTTCTTTTCCAAAACAAAAAAGAGTTGACCCCTTTGAGTCATAAACCCTTTATGGCCCTAGCCAAACTTATAAAGCTTATGCACAATTCTGACAGCAGCATCCTAGTGACATAATCTTTCCCAGCTAAATCCTATAGTCTTAAGTTGCTTACAAGGCATGTGCTGCTTAATGAACACATAAATACAGACTCAATATGGTTCGTCTCCATAACACAAATCATTTTGCAACTGAACATTTAAAGCAAAGAATTGTTATACACAAGCATGAAATAGAGAAAAGATTGTAAATTCTGTAATACCTCAATATGTCCTGCATGAAAAAGATCAAAAGCCCCATCAATGTATACAATATGAGCATTTGGTCCAGGCCCCTACCATTGGATATGATAATATGTTAGCATTATCATGAAAAAGATCAAAAGCCCCATCAATGTATAAAAAAAATTAGATCCACATCATGCAAACTAAACGATAGAATTTTCTAGATTCAAAGAGTTTTCTATCTCCCCCTAACAACCAGGCCACCACAACCTAAGCAAAAGCACAAGTTCTTCCTTCACAAAAGAATTCTTGATTCCCACAAACTAAACTGATTATGTTATTCCATTTTTTGTCACAACAAACACCTAACGGGGACCAGAAAGGAGAAATTCTCCCGCATAAGGATTCAAGAACATTTAGGTCACCAGAGAACCATACCCTTCCATTTGAAAACTGTACAATACGGTGTGATGTTGGTAGAAAGTGAGAAAGGGCACCATGGGATGAACTTTCCTTGTTAGAATCTCCATTCGGGGATGTTTCATTATGATTTTTAGAATCCGTAGCATCATTCATGGAAGAGAGTATCCTTCCTACATTCAAGAAATCATGGATTATGGGTTAAAATTTGAAACAAGAAAATGCAAAACCAAGTAACATTCAAGAGCTCAATAAGCAAGCAAGTTTAGAATATGCTTCTTGTGACAAACTGCTTACTGAAGATTGAGAAACACAGTACCTACGATATCAGTGCTGGACACTCCTTCAGTACGTTTGATCTGCTTGTACCGACCAGCTTTCTTAGCTAAGGCATAGGCATCAGTCCCATCTGGAAGTAGGCATGGATCATCTCCATGAATAATATAGTCAATCTTGTGCTCATTAAAGAGCCTGTTCATGAATTGCTCTGTAATTGCATATGGGGCGTTGGCAATAACTTCATCCACCCACTTCAAACCACTTACAAGAGCCAGCCTACAAGGAGCCCTTGGTTAGGAAAAACTGAGCAAATTATTGTGGAAACCTACAAAATCTTTTACATGCTTTGCTACAGATTCAATAAGATTTCAGCGCATACCTTTCTTCCATTGGTAACACTGGAGGACCCTTATTGGCTATGATCTCTTCATCACTTACAACACCCACCACCAACTCATCTCCCAATGCCTTAGCTTGCCTCAACGCATTGGCATGACCAAAATGCATGAGATCAAAACAGCCATCCATGTAAACCCGAATGCGCTTCTTTTCACTCTTTCTTTTCTGGAAAATCCCAAAATCAGACCAGAAAAATGGCAAAGATGGTGCACCAATGCCACTGAAATAACTCGTTGAAAATCCAAGCAAGGCCGCTGTGAGCATTAAACCACCAAACAAATGTGGATAGTAGCATACACCATCCCATATCCAACTGTTGCTTTCGTAATCCATTGGTCCCATTTGCCTCTAAATTCTCTAGCCTCTTCCCTTTTTTCTTCTAAGAGGAGACACAAACCCTGCAACCTGCCAACAAGCAAATCAACTTCATCAACAACTTATCCTCATAAGGTAAATATTTCATATAGATTTGTTTTCTTCAGCAATAACCAAATTAGCAATCGAAGCAAAACATTGTCGCCAATGTTTAATCGAATTCTTAACCACATATTAGAGAATATGGAAATCAGATGCAATATTCTGATGATACGATGATACAGATTCGTACGATATCAGCCAAGTAAGCTCAGGAAACAAAGAAATTGCACGAAGAAATCAAAACCAAAACAAGTTGTGAAGTAAAGAACACAAAATTTCCAAATTACTCAGTTCCAAATCTGAACGAGTTACAAGACAAAAATTCATCGAAATCATTGGGATCTAATACATTTAAACACAGAACGAAAAAGAAAACCAATTCAGCACCTCATAAAAAGAAGAGTCCATCAAAAAAAAAAAAAAACACAGCGAGAAGAAACAGAACACAACCTGTGAAGAAGGAAAAGAAATGGATGCTCATAGCTTCAGATGCGTCAGAGAATCAGCTCAAAAGCAGATCAAAAATTAAAAAAATTAAAAAAAAAAAAAAAAAAAAAAAAAAAAAAAAAAAAAAAAAAAAAAAAAAAAAAAAAAAAAACGAAGAAAGAAGAAAAGAAGAAAATAAGAAAAGAGGATCAACAGATAAAGAGAAATGCATTTAAAGATGAAAATATAATTAATCGAGTACCTCCTTCTGTGTCTCCTCTTGGTTGATGGGTGGAGCTGTCGGCTCAGAATAGACGAACCAAAAGGGGCTCTCCGTTCGTTCTTTCTCGCTCGCAATTCCCAAGATGGACAACGCCCAAAAATATTCGGCTGCTGTCACCTGTCCGAATGGGATATGAGATCTGACGATCAGCTCCCATAAAAAATATAATATATATATATATATATATATATATTGAAATATTTCGCGTTTATTAAAATTGAATATATTGAAAATAAATATTAAAATAATATTTTAATCTTATGAATTTTTAGCAGCATTCACGTGATTCCTTCAAGCTCCGCGTTTTCTTTAGGCGGTTGGAGTCGGGGCTTCTCCGGTCGTGTAAAACAAATATTTATATTTTATTTATATTAATTAATAATCTTTTTATTTATTTTGCTTTTTTTACAAGTCCCAGTCAGTCCACGTGGCGTCATCATATGCATCTTGCAAATTTGATATTTTCACGACTTTGCTTGACGATCAAGCCATATGATCTTTTAAATCACTTTTTAAAATAATTGTTTAAAAAAATGAAAGCTCCTTATTATTTAACCAAAATAAAATTTTAAAAAAATAGCAAATTAAATAAAATAATTAGCATGGTCAATTAAAATTGTGATGTTATTATGTAGTATTAGTGAAATAAATTTAATCATTAGCAAATAAAAGATAATAGATTTAATCAATTTTGGATTTCCTAGAGTTTAGGGTACAATTATGAATTTAATTAGTTTTAGATTAAATTATTCCCATAACTTTTATTTAATTATCATCCTAAATTAATTATTTATTTTACTGGCTAGTTGTATTCATAATTAACCCAATTATTTAAGGGTCTGCCTAACTCGGTTCTATATACTTAAGATAGATTGAGCTTTTTAATCCCTGTCGATCTTCTAAGTTGCTATTGATTTGCTCTTTTGGCAAAAGAGGGTTGTAAAGTGTCTAGCTTAGGGGTGTGTCGGGGTTATTTTGTTGAGTTCCTTCAACCTGTTTCTCTCCAGCGCCATACTATACTGTATTGTTCACTTTGTGTTGGCTTGGGATATAGTCAACTCATTGAGAGGAGGGGAAGACACACAACAAAATGAAATATTTATTTATTTATTTATATTCTAATTAAGACTATAAAAAATTATCTGGTTAATATATAATAAAAAATAATTATGAAATTAAATAAAAGTAAAATAATTTAGTCATTATAAAAGAAAAAAATACATTTAAAAAAAAAAAAATATTTGTGAAGGGTGAAAATTTATCGACCGGCCGAACCACAGGGCTAAGGAGGAAACAGACGAGGGAGAACTGCGCAGAGAGCGAGCGAGTTTGCGAGCAGAGAAGAGGAGAAATTTGGAGAGAGCGACAATGGGCGGAGGAATGGAAGCTCACAAGAACAGATTTATCGAGGACTGGAGTTCTGCTAGAGAAAATCTTGAGCATAACTTCCGCTGGACTCGCCGGAACTTTGCTCTTGTCGGTCTTTTCGGCATCGCCGTTCCCCTCCTTGTTTACAAGGGCATCGTCAGGGAATTTGTAATATCATTTCTCTCTTTTCTCTTTTGCGATCTTTTTCTTGCATTAGTATGTGGTTTGATTTATATTCGATCGTTTCGTTTCGTGATCCGTTGACGCACATCCACGGCGTGTGTTTCAATCCGGGTTGAAATTGTTCTTTTTAGGGTTTCCATTTGTTTTTTTTTACCTGTTTTCGATTCTGGATTTCCTTTCTACTAAATTGTTTTGAAGTGATGAAGAATTTGGTACTATTTTCCTGGACTGGCTGTGTCGATTTTCCAATTGGCCAATTTATTTCGGTGTGATTCGTTTATTTATAGGACCTGGAATTCACATGTTTTCTTTAACTTCTAGTTATGATTTTAGTACCGGATTGGAGAATACAAGTTTTTAATTTCCTTTTGTGTGAGCATTGGTACTAACTTCGAGCATCTCGCGGCAATCCTTTCCTTTCTGTAAGGATAGAATTTAGTTTGCTTTTCAATTTACTGTTTGGTACTTGTTCTTTTGGATCGTCATTGCTACTTGCTGTTCTAAATCTTCAATATTTGTATGTTAATAAGAATGACTTCCATCACCTAAAGAGAGTGTGCAAAGAAAGGGTGACAGGAAGGCTGATCCCTGTTGTTCGTCCACTTGTTGAGATGAAATAAATTTCTTCTCAAGAGTTTGAAATCAAGAAATTATAAGAAATGACTGATTTGAAAAAGTAGAAATGATTTAAAAAATTTCATATGGTTTTGCTAACACAAATTCTTCGGAGTGAGGTTCAATTCTCAGGCTCCATCCCCATGTGTTTGCTTCTGAGATATTGGGTGGTCTGACTCCTATCTCGTAGCTGTGTTCATCTTTGATCTTTCTCATGTTTGTTTCTTTTCCATTAAAATTTGCACGCAGTTTTTGTTTGTTTTTCTCCATTTATGTAAGTTTTCCTTCTCATTATTGAGTCGCCAATTGCCTGTTGAGATGTGGTGCACTCTTTATCAAGCTTTCTTCTAAAATATAGCTTGGTTTATAACATTATGATGACAGCATATGCAAGATGAGGATGCAGGCAGACCTTACCGGAAGTTCTTTTGAGCACCGCACCAGGCACTCCAATAATTTCTTGCAGTAATAAAACCTTTCTTATCTATGTGAACACTAATCCCTGCCAATTTGGATTCTGGGACAAGATTGCTTCTTTCTTTTAAGTTGTAGAAGTGATGCTATGCAAGTTTACACTATATTTTATGACATTTTGTGAATGCTGAGTATTTTTCGTCTACCATGAATATAGACCATTTTTCTTACTCTTTTTGTTCTTTTTTCTTAACATGGGTGCTCGGATTATCAGCAGCTGTGAAAATTCCTCGGGAATGCGATAGTTTACAAGATGATAGGTGGTAAATTGTTAGTTATAGCCTGTTTAGAAAATTGGGTATTGTTGCCTTTTCCTTGTTGATTCTAGGAACACAGGTTTTCAAAGCTAAGCATGTTATGGGTAGGTTTTCGAGAGCGATTGATGGATGGATGGTTGGTTCTGTAAATTTCCAATAGTGAGAGATCCACCTCAGTTGGAGAGGGGAATGAAATATTCCTGATAAGAGTGTAGAAACCTGTATCTAACAGATGCGTTATAAAATTGTGAGAGAGGCTGACGGTGATACATACGAGTCAAAGCAGACAATATCTACTAGTAGTGGGTTTGGATTGTCACAAGTAGCAAGTTTGAAAATTGAAGACATTGTTTACTCATAAGTATTGATTGATCATTTACTATGGAAAGGTTACCGTTCAAACCACAGTGAGATAGTGAATGCCCAACTTTTGTATGGCTATCATGTTTTAAATTATGTATAATTTAGGATACCCTTTTAATTCGATAATTTTTATTTAAAAATGTTCGATTAGGATGACATAAATATTTGGACTTCGTAATTTTGTTTAGTATAAGATTATAATTAAAAAAATATATATTTTGGGATGTTTAATTTTAATTCTAATACTTTCAAAGGCTCAATTTTAATTTTTTTTTTTTTAAAGAAAAAAAAAAGCATAAGCTTAATTCTTATTACGAGTTTATTGCTAAAAAAATTCAATTTTTATTACTTACGAGTCTTTCTACTATTATCTACTATAAATTTTGTATATTCGCATAGTATTTGGCATGAAATTATTATTATTTTATAAATTTTTTTTATAAAAATTAATTTAAAAGGACTAATTTAAAACAAATACTTTCGAAGGCTTGCGCAACATTGAACTGGCTATAGCCGGTCATAACCCACAAGCAAGCCGGTCCACGTGTGTGGTGTATTTAGGGTTTAAAGGATCTACGACTACGGTCCCGCGAAATAAGAACCAGAAGAACCAGAAGGTACCAGCATTGTGCAGAGATCGAATTCTCGCAGCAATGGCGTCGAAGGTTTCTCTTAGAAGCAAGGGCAAGAGCTCCAAGGGCTCATCGAAGTCATCTGAGGATAAATCCACAACCCAAGCCTTCAAGGAGTGGACTACTTGGGCAGTAAAGAAAGCCAAGGTCATCACTCACTATGGCTTTATTCCTCTGGTCATCATCATCGGCATGAACTCCGAGCCAAAGCCTCAGCTTTCCCAGCTTCTCAGCCCCGTCTGATCTGATTGCTTTCTAAAAGTTGGTTTTCAGGATTTATATCTTTTTATGATGGATCGGTGCCTTTTCGTCGATTCACGACTTGGATTTATGTTTTTTGGGGGTTAGATAGCGCATGAAGTTTAGATAGGTTTGGGTATAATACTTAGCTGCTTAGGCTTGGTATGCTTGAACTACAATAGACATGTAATAGTTTGAGCAACAATTTTAATTTCTTCTGAAATATCTGATTATGCTATCGCTTTACCGGTATGAATCTTGGTGCACTTCTCTTCTCCGAATTTTGTCTGTTTATTCAAATAATTGAATGGTGTTATGGTTTATTTGCCCTATCTGATCCCTCAAGACTGATATGGATGAATCATACAGGAGTAATAGGGCTGTAATATCAAAAAGCCCATTTTGTTGTGGCTGTTTTTCTTTCCTTCTCTCGCAAGTTTATAGTAATTGATCAAGGATTTATACTCACCATTGTATGACTCGAATATATTATCTTTCATTATGTTCCAGTATTTAAATGTTTACTTTAAATTGTGATAATGAAATACAATGTCTGAAGTCACCCTGATAGGCATTCATGTTCTTAGTATCATGTGTTATCTAGCCTATGATTATGTTCTGTTTTCATTTTCCATTTATGTACACTATTCTCTGTGTAGTTCCTCCTATAACTTAACAGGGTTAGTTTGTTTCTAACCCAGAATTTTAGTCTTTGTTCATTGGGATTATCCTCTGCCATCCCCTGAATTGTGATGAACTCATATAAATGCCCTCTACTGCCCAATTATTCTCTCGAGTTGTTTAGGGTTATATTGTATATTGTACTCAAAATCTCTCTCGTGTACAGCTCTCTTCATTCCTTCAAAGATTGGGGACAATTTTGTTAGTACACTACATTTCCTCTGGACGTGGGGTGTTCCTAATGTTGGTTTATTGGCTGTCGTTAATTTGAGTGGAATGCTATTTGTGTTTATTTTGGCTTTCCTTTCAGTTGCCATTGATTTTCTGTAGCAAATGAAACAATCATCTTATTTTGCTAGTAGTTTGTTTTAAGCCTGAGTCAACCCAGTATTTGAGGCTTGATGCTGTTCCCAGAAATTTGGTATAAGTTTTCATGGTTTAATTTGGTTAATGGTAGGCTTCTGTCATCTTTTTGAGTCAGTTCTTTAGAAATGGTATCCTGAGATTTCTGGGAACTGTAACCTGAGATAGAGGGCTTTAAAGCCTCGTGCATTTAGCTTTTAGTGCTTGTGTGGCTGAGCTTATACGCGAATTTCCTTACTAAAAGGTTCATCGTTTTTTTTTTTGGTTGTTGTTGTTGTTGTTTGATTCAAACTATCGATCTTCTAGTTGGTCTATGCTCATATTGAAAGGATGATATGTCTTAACCAGTTGGCCTATGCTCGTGTTGAATTTTTTTTTTGTCTGAATTCAAACTTTCAATTTCTTGATAGTATATGTTTTAATTAGTTGGTCTATGCTTGTATTGAAAGAATGATATGTTTTAATTAGTTGGTCTATGCTTGTATTGAAAGAATGATACGTCTTAATTAGTTGGCCTATGCTTATGTTAGGGCTTTTTTTTGTCTAATTCAAACTTTTAATCTCTCGATAGTTATGTCTTAACTAGTTGGTCTATGCTTGTATTAAAAGGATGATGTATGTCTTAACCAGTTGGCCTATGCTCGTGTTGAGTTTTTTTTTTTTTTTTTTTTTTTTTCNACATTTCTTTTTCTTATCTTATACAAGACATACTTGACGGTGACAGGACATCGATGTTTAAACCATGGAATGTGCCAAGACTATCTCGTAGGCAAGTCTACCGAATCTATAACCTAGAGCTCTGATACCAATGGTAACGACCCTAGATGTCTATTAGTCTAAAGTTGCTACCGTCATCATTGATGGTGTTAATATAACACATGCGGAAGCAATTTCAATCTTAGGCACTTTTAGAACATCAATTTGGATCGAAGATGAAGAGTTATTGGGCTCTCGAAAGCTTTGAAAATGTATTTGATTTTGATTTTTTTTTCTTTTTTCTTTTTTCTTTTTTTTTTTTTTTTTTTTTTTTTATTCAAACTTTTAATCTCTCGATAGCATGTCTTAACTAGTTGGCCTATACTTGTATTAAAATGATGATGTATGTCTTAATCAGTTGGCTTATGCTCGTGTTGAGTTTCTTTTTTTGTCTATTCAAACTTTCGATTGAAATGATAGTTTTTGTCTTAATTAGTTGGTTTATGCTCATATTAAAAGGATGGTATTATATCTTAACCCGTTGGCGAACTTTTTTTTTATATTTTTATGTATTTATTTTTAATTTTAAGCTATTCAAGTTATTTTGGTTTTCTAAATCTGACTGGGACTACACGGGAATTCAATTAATTTTTAGTATATCATCAAGATGAATGTGCAAACGCCAAACAAAACGGCTGAATAATACTGCTAAACAAGGTTCATAGTTAATGAATATGTAACTGTAAAACCATTCTTTCTCGACAAGCTAGTTCGAGCCCAAAATTTGGTGGACGAAAGGCAAACTTTACAATAATTGAATAATTTACAGCATCTAAAGGTAAGGTTTGCAGTCTTTTGACTGTTACTCCCAGGTGAAAAGATTGGCATTGCATGCACCAATCATATTTTGAACAGCCACAAATATCAGCAGGAGCCTGACTTCATTCCCAGAAGATTTTCCTTCATCAGTCCTCACAATAAGAATATCAATAAGAGTTTGCAGTATTCGTCCAGAAACACTGCAAATTTATCCTCCGCTATAAATTACCCGAACCATCGAGAACTCATCGAGAACCAGTTCGAGCAGAGACTTCATAAACCATTTTGCACTTACTCCTACACATTGCATACTAGTAGTGAAGAAAGTTTGGGATCAGATGCACCACTTATAGAGGCACCTTTGCTTTTTAAATGTAACAGATAATCCAGAACTTCCTCAGATATAATCTCCCCTGGTATCATTACTGGTATTCCTGGAGGGTATGGGCATACTAGCTCTCCACACACCTTCCCCACACATTCTTTAATGTTCTCTCTTCTTTTCTTTGAAAAGAATGCGTCTCTAGGATTCAAGTTGATTTTGACATTAGGAAAGGGTGCAGAAACACTGAATTTGCTTCTTCCTTCAATTCTCAGAATCGATGCAAAAGAGCTCACATCATCAATACCTGACACTAGTCTTTCAATATCATCTTCACATGTTCCTAGATTAATGACAAATGTAATGGATTGGTTCCCAACAAGTTCACAAACGATGTTATGATTCTTGTATATTGTTTCATCTGCTTCATAGCCAGACAAACCAAGTTGTTGGAAACCAATAGTGAGTCTTAATGGATCAATAGCAGGGAAGTTGGAGAACATGGGAAATTTGAGGATCGAGATACCTGAAGTCTTATTCATCTTTCTTTTCGCTTGATATGCTAGATCTATTGCTCTATTGAAAATCTTGTCTGGATTATCACTTAGCTGAGCTCTGGCAGCATCCAATGATGCTAAAAGCAGATAACTAGGGCTGGTGCTTTGAAGTGTTTGTAAACATCTACATATCATTTCTCTGTCTATAATATTACCTGACATGTGTAACATTGATGACTGAGTAAGAGAGCAGAGAACTTTGTGGGTGGATTGGACAGCCAAATCAGCCCCTTGCTGGAGTGCAGAAAGAGGCAGCTGAGGTTGAAACCCAAAGTGTGCCCCATGAGCCTCATCGACAATGAGGGGAATTCCTTTAGCATGACATATCTGGGAAATCTCCCTCAAGTCACTGCAGATGCCATGATAAGTAGGTGAAGTAACAAGAACTGCAGATGCTTTTTGACCTTCCATTTCCAAATCCTTGATCTCTCTATCCACCTATGAAATAATAAAAATTTCCCTCTTTAAAATTACATGCATTAAACAAGTTAATAACGATTGAAGGTTTAGATTTGAGGGAAGTTTTCCTTAGTAAATCTTAATGTTTGGTTACAAAAATATAAAAAGTTTAACTTGTCGTGCATTTAATATGGTTAAGGATTGTTGGGAGGGAGTCCCACGTTGACTAATTTAGGAAATGATCATGGGTTTATAAGTAAGGAATACATCTCCATTGGTACGAGACCTTTTGGAGAAGCCCAAAAGCAAAGCCATGAGAGCTTACGCTCAAAGTGGACAATATCATACCATTGTGGAGAGTCGTGATTCCTAACAACTACTATTGAGGATTATAAACTGTGAGTAGTGTTGCTAAGCTAAGATAACTAGCAGTAAGCAATAGTCTATTGAAAAAATTTATACCCTACATGACATGAGTGTATCCATGAGTTGAAAACCAATGTTATGAACTTGCCTGTGATGGAGTGACCCCACCAGCTATGTCCCAATTGGAGTCATACTCGGGCATGATGTATTTGGGTATTGCACCAGATATCACCAAAGCTGATATGACAGATATATGGGAATTCCTGGGAAGAATTATATGATCTCCTGGGGAACAGGTTGCCATAATTGCAGCCTGAATTCCACATGTGGTTCCTCCAACGAGGAACCATGTTTCTGATGCCCCAAAAAGTTTAGCTGCTTGCTGCTGTGCTTCTAAAATTGGACCCTCTGGACAAAAGAGGTTGTCCAACTCTGGAAGCTCGGGTAAATCATGCATAAATGGTTTCAAACCAATGAGCTGAGTAAATGATGATGGGGCTGCTCTCCCTCCATTATGCCCAGGAAAGTGAAAACGAGCCGCATCTTTCTCAGCTGAAACTTTCAATGCATTAACCAGAGGAAGGGTGCGGCTACCTTCCTGGGATATTGGAGATTCTCCAATTGCTTTCGTGGAGGTTTGCTTTTTGCTTGGCCCGTCCTGATTATTCTTTGGCTTAACAATGCTTGTTTCCTGCAGAAATCAAAGAGTTAACATATTTGACATCTAGGCAGAGACGCCACATATCTCTTTTATCATCCAGTTCTTGTTTCATATCAGATTAAAATAGATCCTTCACATTCAGAACAATGAATTGACTTTACCAGGGGATATAAGTCTATCAAATTGAGCTTCAGCTGAAAATAGACATTCTCAATAAATAAATGTCCACTTTGAGCATGAAGTCAGCTGGAAACATAGCTCATGGATCAGAGAAATCAAATAACTTCTAGACGGACCATGGTTTAAGTTTCGAGCACCCACCATCATTTCCAATTAGAATAGAATAAAAATAGAAGGGGAAAAACTGATTACATAAACTCAAAGAATACAATACACCAATGTGAGCACAATGTCACGGTCATGCTTGTCCAGGACGTGTTATCCATGACCGCGTGCCCGTTCCAAACCCCTTTTACATGCTTTCACCTTAGATAGACCTTTACTATTTTATCTTGTGTTAATACGGAGGTGTATGACCGTTCACCAAAATCATGTCTACATCTGCTAGGGCTAAAATGCCCCAAAATATACTATAGGGGATATGACTAGTTCTCACTTCTTCCTACCTGAGTTATATGCTATTTAAACCGTGGTGTTTCTTTTTTTTGCTTATAGCCATATAACGTTTTTTTCAATTCTTTCAAATGTATTTCCTAGCTCACGTTTTCTAAAACATTTCCCGCAAACATGACTCGAGGCTCAAGCATACGCCGACGTTGTCCGCGAAATCTGAATTTTTCACGGCCGACTTGTTCGCTTGGTTAGAACAAGTGCGGCACAATCACTGTCTCGCTTCCACAAGAGTGCGATTGTAACATGATCAAAGAGGAACGTACAGATAGGTATCTAGATATACCATCCCGATAGGTATCTAGGGAATTTTATTTGAAGAACAGTACAGAAAAGAGTGACAATGTCACCATACACGCTCAGCCAATTCGATAACAAAGGCAGCTCATTTCCTCTAACTAACCTTCCCTTAATTCCCCTTTTCACCCTTTCTATTACATACATGAATTATGGCTCCTTCGAGTATGAACATTGAACATCCCCTCCAAATTTCTACCCCACATTTGTTGTACTCAACTAAAAAAGAAAATAGATTACAAAGAGTACTCAGATGCTAAGACACAGACCTGACGGATGCTAAAACAGGACTTTCTTCTCTGCGGCCTCCTACTCCAATCGTGGCCAAGCCGAAAATGATGATTCTGCTGAACGAACAAATCCAAGTTTCATTAGCAGACCTCGAGTTTCGAAAATACGTGTTAAATGCAGAGCAAATGTAATATCCATGGAGTGAAGGGAGAGCAAGAACTTACCAAGCTTATGGAGGAAGATAGAGGTGAGGAAGTCATCATTGTAAGAATTATCTCCACGAAACACCTAGCGCTAACGCCATTGATTCCTTAAGGAATCAATCGCGATTTCATTCTGAAGCTCAGATGGCTATGGCGATTCTGCTTGAACTTTCAAGCAAGACCTCAGTTCGCAAGTTATCTCCGGCGGAAGCGATAAGGAAAAGGAAAATTTATTTTTAAATTAAATTAATCGAATTCCAACTCTGTCCTGGAGATGATCATTGGTTTGGGGGTAAAATAGTAAATTACTTCCTATTCTCATTGGCGCAGTTTTGATTGACTTGGTATTTCCCGCGGGTTCTCTTCACTGCGATAATATTCTTCTGTTTCTCTCCGAAAGTTTCTTCCCCCAATCGTCGACAGAGTTAGAGAGTCGATTACTTCCAAACGAAACTGGACTAGCTCATGGATCCGCGCTTCTTTCCAGTAAAAACTGTAAGTAGAAATCTTAGAATTCATTTTGATCTCTTAATCGAAGAGTAGAGCTTCATTTGTTAATTTTGGTGTGACTTTTGCCTGTTTCGACCTTTTTCCTTTTCACTTCCCCTGCCCTAGGTAATTTTTGAGCCAGATTATTGATCTGATTTGAGTTGTTCAGAGTTCTATAACATGAACAGTTTACGAACTGATTAAACTGATCACATTTCAATGAGAAGAGATTCAATTCTTGTGATTGCTTTTCTCTCGGCTTTTTTTCTACTTTGAATAAGAATGAAACAGAATGAAATGAAAAGGAAAAAAGAAAAAACCATATATATCTTGATTCCGAAGCCTTCTTAGGGAAGCCAAACAAAGGACTGCATTAACCTGATGAACTTTGAAATATGGTTTTCTTCTCTGTGGCCTCAAGCTCCGATTATGGGCAAATCCAAAATTTGTCTGCTCTGCAGAACCCGACTCATATTTAACTTATGGGCCCTAGAGCTGTACAATTGCAATAGACAGATTTCATGGAGAGTGAGCAAAGGGTGGCGGGTAGTATTAGTGGCAAAGACACTTTTGACTGTTGTAGGCTAGTTTGCTAGACATTCCAGATTCTTATTTATTTTTTTGGATTCCCCACATGTGCCATATGTTTGCGATCGAAATTGTGTAAACTTAGAAAACAACATTGTCATGTTTTTTTTTTTTTTTTTTTTTTTTTTTTTTTTTTTTTTTTTTTTTTTTTTAATTTTTAATTTGAACTTTTAAAATGAAGGTTTATATTAAGAAAGATAATTTTTTTTATAAGTATAATCTTTCATGTTATAAACTCAATTTATTTTTGTTAAACTAAAATGTCTATAATATAATATGTTATAAAGTATATGATATTGTAAAATAATAATTATACAAATCTTTTAACATAAAACATGTTCATAAGTTGATTGATAATAATTTATATAAAACCAAGTATTTAGTGGGCAAATATGGCTGGTTTCATGATTTATAAATGTATTATATCTAACACATTTTGAACTTAAATAGACATCCAATTTCTGAATTTGTTACCGATATTTAAAAAGCATGATTTAGAATATTAATATTGGATCCTTTAGCTTTTAATATTTAATTTTTAAATTTGAAAAAGAAATAATATCTATAAACCATTACTTGACATCGTAGTAAGTTCTTAAGGTATAGGATGAAACCAAAATTTTCACAGGGAATTTGCAAAATTTTACCTTCTAACTTTTTTGTGTGTACTATTTTTCAATTTCGAAAATTTATGGGGGCTAAAGAGGAAATTTCAAGATCTTAACTTCTTTTTATACAATTTTTAAAATTCAAGATTAGTTGCTCCTCCTTTCCCTTGGATTATAATTTTTATTTCAAAACAAACCAATTAACTTATACGATGGAAGGTTTCCATCATCTTCAACTGAGGTTAAAGCCTCTCAGTTGTAAGATGGAAGGTTTTTTTGGTCTTGAGGATCTTGGCTTTCATCTTGCAATCAAGACAAGTCCATGTCACTTGTGAGATGAAAGCAAAAGGGGGAACAAGGGTTAAGGACAAAAGAACATGGTAGATGAGATAAAACATAAATTATAGGATGATTGTTATCAATGATAACATAAACAATAGATCTGCAATCCGATTGACCTTCAAGGTGAAAAAGATGAAAGCCCACACGCCATGTCATGTGACCAAATGTCCTAAATGATCTCCAATGCATTGTCCATTACAGATAATGATTCATTCCCGCCCACTCGGATATCAACAACTGATACCCTCATACCATACTTCCTTGCAATACAGATACTAAAAAACGATGCAAATTTATATTATTCCTGCTACAGACTACTCCAACCATCAGGAGTTAAACGAAATATTGATTTCATAAGCCATTTTGCACTTTCTCCTACACATCGCATACAAGTAGTGATGTTAGTTGGGGATCAGATGCACCACTTATAGAGGCACCTTTGCTTTTTAGAAGCATCAGATATTCCAAAGCTTCCTTAGATATAACCTCACCTGGGAATATTACTGGTATTGCTGGGGGGTATGGACTTAATACCTCCCCAGACACCTTTCCCACACACTCTTTAATCTTCACCCTCCTTTTTTTGGCAAAAAATGCATCTCTAGGATTCAAGCTGATTTTGATATCCAGAAAGGGAGTAGAAACACTAAGTTTGTTGCTTCCTTCAATTTCTAGAATGGATGCAAAAGAACTTACATCCTCAATGCCTGATACAAGCCTTCGAATATCGCCTTCACATGTTCCAAGGTTAATGGCGTAAGTAATAGATTGGGTCCCAAAAAGTTCACAAACGATGTCATGATTTTTGTATAGCATTTTGTCTGCTTCATAGCCAGACAGGCCAAGTTGCTGGAAACCAACAGTGAGTCTCAATGGATCAATTGCAGGGAAGTTAGAGAAGATGGGAAATTCTAGGATAGATATACCTGAAATTTTCTTTATACATTTTTTTGCTTGATTGGCTAAAGCTATTGCTTTGGTGAAAATTTTGTTTTGATTATCACTTAGTTGAGCTCTGGCAGCATCTAACGATGCTAAAAGTAGATAACTGGGGCTAGTGCTTTGAACTGCTTCCAAACATCTACAAACTCTTTCTCTGTCTACAATAATCCCTGACATGTGCAACATTGATGACTGAGTAAGAGAGCAGAGAACTTTGTGGGTGGATTGAGCAACCAAATCAGCCCCTTGCTTGAGTGCTGAATGAGGTAGTTGAGGTTCAAACCCAAAGTGTGCCCCATGAGCCTCATCCACAATCAAAGGAATTCCATGAGAATGACATATTTGAGAAATCTCATTCAGGTTACTGCCGATTCCATGATAAGTAGGTGAAGTAACAAAGACAGCAGATACTTTTTGACCCTCCGTCTTTGACTCCTTGATTGCCCTATCTATCTGTGGAATGAGAAAGTTTTATATTAGCAGGATATTCATCAGCTTAAAAAGATACAAGGGTTTAATTTGTGGGAAAATCTTCCTCAGTTGATCTAAGAATCAACATTACACTGTTAAAAAGCTTAGGATGTTGTGCTCATTTATGATTTTCTTTGCACTAATCCAGGGAAATTTAGATCTACTTGGAATGACTTTTAAGTGCTTAAGAATTCATTTTCAAGTACAAAAAAAATGTTTTTAAGGACTTAAAAAGTCATTCCAAAACACTTAGAAACTCAGTCCAAACATAATAGGGTAGAACAATTTAGATTCGTGAAATGGTATTGTACTATACTACTAAGCATTATTCCATTGAGAAAGTTTACACGCTATATGACATGTTTGTATTAGTAAGTTGAAAAGCATTGTTCCTCACTCACCTGTGATGGAGTTACTCCACCAGCAATGTCCCAATTGGAATCATACTCCGGCATGATGTATCTAGGTATTGCACCAGAAAACACTAAAGCAGATACGACTGACAAATGGGAATTTCTTGGAAGAATTATATGTTCTCCTGGGGAACAAGTTGCCATAATCGCAGCTTGAATTCCACATGTGGTTCCTCCAACTAGGAACCATGTCTCCGATGCTCCAAAAAGCTTTGCTGCTTCCTGCATTGCTTCTAAAACTGGGCCCTTTGGATGAAAAAAATTGTCCAGCTCAGGAATTTGAGTTAAATCATGCATAAATGGTTTAAGACCAATAAGCTGAGTCAATGATGATGGTGCCGCTCGCCCTCCGTTATGCCCCGGGAAGTGAAAACGAGCTGCGTTTCGCTCAGCTGAAGCTTTCAATGCATTGATCAGTGGAGGGGAGCTTGGAGAATCTGTAAGTGTTTCCTTATTACTTTGTTTTTTGCTTGTTTTGTCTTGATTGTTCTCTGGCTCGATGCTTGTTTCCTGCCATAAAAATTGAAGAGTCAACATAAGCACATCCTTCACTTTCACTTTTGAAAAGCATAATTTCACGCCATGTCAGATGACATATAGCGCCCTTTTTTCATCAGATAGATCTTTCACGTTTAGATATGAAAGGCAGGCTGAATAGGACTAGTTTGAGGGTGACTTCTGTCACATTCAAAACCACTCTTCTTCTGTTACATTCAAACCCACTCTTACCCGTGTCTTTAATCATTCAAAACCCATTTAATAGGAGATTAATTCTTTTCAAAGTGATTTTTATGCCATCAAAATTGATTTTGAAAGGTTAAAGGCATATGTACGAGTGAGTGACCAAATTGATTTTTAGAATTCTAAAATCAATTCAAAGCATATGTCCTTACTCTTTGTAGATTTCTATTAGTACAATGTCTGTTTTATTAGGAAATTTTCCTACATTTAGCATTGAAGTTAGGTAGCATCCATCATTATCTTTGATATGACAAGGATCAGAAAGAAAGAAAAAAAAAAAAAAAAAAAAAAAAAAAAAAAAAAAAAAAGGGATTGCATGGACCTGAGGAACACTGAAACATGATTTTCTTCTTTGTGGGCTAAAGCTGCAGTTACTGGCAAACCCAAAATGGTTCATCTGCTGCACTCAAAATGGCAAGTTTTATTAATATAACAGCTTCAGAGCTTTGCATAGTTTTACAGATTCCAATCAATAACAATTATGGAGAGACAGCAAGAACTTACAAGGTTTATGGAGGAAAATAGTGCTGCAGAAGTCATGTTTACACTACGATCTACTCCTGGTATGAAGCGACCAAAATTCCACCATTTTTATAGCTTAAAAATACTATTTGATAATTTCTTATCTGGATTCCATTTCCGTTTAGCTTTTAATTATTCAATTTTAGTCTTTATACATTGAATAAATATGAAACTAATAGTAAATCTTAAAGTTAATTTTAATCGAAATTAGCTAAACAATAATTTTCATTAAAAAAATATTTTTCATAATTTATAAAGAGAATATTATTATAGACCATTTTTAAAATTAATTAGAAAAGATTTATTGAAAGCATACAAATTTAGATGGGACATTTAGAAGTTGATTCTCAAATCTTATTTTAACAATTTTTATTTATGATAAAGTTCCTTTATTTGAGATGAGCCATAGGAAGTGCCCAAAAAAAGTATAATATTTTAGGGGAAAGGTACTTTTTAGGTAAAAGATTTGTAGCATATTTTGTGGGTGAAATGACATGAGTGGCCTCACCCCATCTCTTTTTGCTCCCTTCGAGACGAAACAATTTCAAGAGAGAATGACATGGGTCATCAGCAAGAATGGTATATCCCAAGAAGCACTCGTTATTTTCTTAAAAATATTCAGCGTTTTTATACGAAAGTAAAAATAAAAATAAAAATTGTTCCAAAATTGTTGTGATAGAATTAATTATTCATACTATATATGCATTTAGTAAATTTTAATGGTTTGTAAAAAGTATTTTCTTAAAAATCTCATCCACTCTATGGTTGTGCTCCAACGGTAGAAGGGTGAGGCTAATATCTATTTAGCTCGGTGGATCTAATTAACCATTTCAAAGATATATAATTTATTTTTCCACTATTGTAATTGTTCGACAAACAAAATGCAGCAAAGGGAAAAATTGATGTCTACCACTTAACATTCAATATCAAAGGAAGCGAGAAAGAAACAAAAGACTCGAATGGAGAAATTTTGGAGTACAAGTTCAATAAAATTTTAAAGTGGGTGTCATATACATCATTGAACTTAACAAAAATATATAATAAATTTCTTTTGATTTTATATTATATAAGATTATTGAACTTCCAATTTCGAGTTCATTTTGTGTAAAATTTAATTATATTTATAATAAATTTGTAATTAAAAAAAAATGATGAAAATGCTATTGTCCTACGATATAAGACATACAACTGAAACATTAAAGACTTATCAAACACAAACACAAACACAAACACAAAATTTAAAGTTCCAACACCCATTAAATAATTTTAAAGTTCGTAGAGGTATTAGAAGAAAAGGAGCGAATGAAAGACTCGGTCAAGTTAGGAGCCAGCCATAAGCATTTTGTTTTCTGTATTCACAATATTCTCGTAGCCTTAATAGAATTATATTCTATTCTTAGCCCTCTTCTTCCTCCCTCCCTGCGTCCTTCTCCAACCCTTTTGTTACCCTCTTTTCTTTCAATGCCCCATCAAAATTGCATTCTTTCTTCAACCCCATCCCCACCAACACAACCTTCTCCACAATTGCCAAACCACCGTTTTTTATTCCAGGGCGTGCACGCTGCCGCCGCTGCGTGCATTTCCATTAAATTATAGGCTTATGGCCTGCCCATCTCTGCCGCCGGCCACCATCCCCTCCGTCATTCTCATTGTGATCTCATTGGAGCTGATTGTGTGTTGGGGCGCTCACACGGATGCAGAAGCGCTCCTCAAGTTCAAAAGCTCTCTTGAAATAAGCAATGATGCGTTGGGTGATTGGGGCCTGGAGTCCTCCCCTTGCTCCGAGAACAAGGCGAATTGGGTGGGTATTATTTGCCACAAGGGCCATGTTTGGGGATTGAAGCTCGAGAACATGGGGCTGAAGGGCAGCATTGACATGGAGTCCCTCGAAGGGGTCCCCTTTTTAAGGATTATTAGCCTTAAGAACAATCATTTTGAGGGCTCTTTGCCAGATGTCAAGAGAGTTGGGGCATTGAAATCTCTGTTTTTGTCTGGAAACCAATTATCAGGCAACATTCCTGGGGATTCGTTTTCCAACATGATGTCTTTGAAGAAGGTTCATTTGGCACACAACCAGTTTGAGGGTCAGATTCCTTGGTCCTTGGTCGAGTTGCCTCGCTTATTGGAGTTGAGGCTGGAAGGAAACAAGTTTTCTGCCCAAATTCCTAATTTCCAGCAGAAGGCATTCAAGTCCTTTAATATCTCCCATAACGATCAACTTCATGGCCCAATCCCACAAGCCCTCTCCCACATGGATCCATCCTCCTTTTCAGGTGTTCATCATCTCTCCACTTTTCACAAATCATTTATACCACCACTTCTAAATCGCAGATATAATCAAACAACTTCATGCACTTTCCAATATGAACACATCTGTCCATTTCCTTAATGTATTATTTTTCTAAGAACCTAATTCTCCTATATGCAGGCATTGAAGGCTTATGTGGACCGCCACTTAATAAACCGTGCAATACCGCAAATATGCCATCAATCGCGAGCATCATCATGGTTTCAATAGCTCTGACACAAGCTTTGCTTGCCATCGGTGCAGGAATAGTAATCCTTAGCCGTCGGAACCAATCATCTTCTTGTGAAGAGGTTCCAGCCAACGTCAAATCTCCAGGTGCTAGAGCGTTAGATCCAGGAGTTGGGGCAAAGTCACCGGACCGTGCCTCCAGTCATGGATCGGGGAGACGGGTGGCCGAGGGTGCTAAGTTATCATTTGTAAGAGAGGACTTGGAGAAGTTTGATTTATCAGACTTGCTTAAAGCCTCTGCACAGATCCTAGGAAGTGGGTGCTTCGGTTCTTCTTACAAGGCAGCCATGACCGGCGGACCTGTGGTAGTTGTAAAGAGGTTTAAGCAAATGAACAATGTGGATAAAGATGAATTCCAAGAACATATGAAGAGAATTGGAAGATTGAAACACCCCAACTTGCTTCCTCTCGTAGCCTACTTCTACAAAAAGGAAGAAAAGCTTCTCATAACAAACTTTGTTGAGAAGGGTAGCTTGGTTATTCAACTTCATGGTACATTCCCCTTTTCTTCTTCTTATACCTTACTAAAATTGGTTAAAAATATTTATAAAAAGATTAAATGTATCAACTTATTCTTTCGAGTTTATTGGTACTTTCTCATAATATCAAAACAAAAGGTCTTCTAGTTAAGTTCCAATAGAACACAAGTGAAGGAACATGTTAAGAATGTGCACAAAAGATTAGAAATACCATAAATCATCAACTTAACATGATGTTAGAGTAGAAGAAGGTTTAGTGTTTGAACTTGTATGAAGTTCGCGAGTGAGGGGAGCGTTAAATATACCTTAACCTGTTAGTTTAACTCAAGAGTTTTGTAGTCAACAGAAAATACTTTAAATTTTGGCTCAATTGGATTCTCTTGTCTGTGTCTTTTAGGGCAAAAAGCCGAGGGTCAACCAGCCCTCGATTGGTCTGCAAGGTTGAAGATCATCAAGGGCATTGCAAAGGGTCTTCGCTATCTCTACAGTGAGCTTCCAAGTCTCATAACCCCACACGGCCATCTCAAGTCCTCAAATGTGCTTCTCAATGCCAACTATGAGCCCCTTCTTTCGGACTATGGCCTGATCCCAGTTATCAACCAAGAGCACGCCCAAGATCTAATGGTGGCCTACAGATCCCCGGAGTACAACCAACAAGGTCGCATCACAAAGAAAACAGATGTGTGGAGCTTTGGGCTGTTGATCCTAGAGATTCTAACAGGGAAACTCGTAGCCAACTTTCTGCATCAGGGCAAGGGTGGGGACGAGGAAGATTTGGCAAGTTGGGTCAAATCCATTACTGCGACAGAATGGAATAGCCAAGTATTTGATAAGAACATGGGGCCAACCAAGAGCAGCGAGGGTGAAATGATGAAGCTTCTGAGGATTGCATTAGCATGTTGCGAGAGCGACTTTGAAAAGAGGCTGGATTTGAGAGAGGTTGTGGAGAAGATTGAGGAGTTGAAAGAAAAAGATGGGGATGAAGATTTCTATTCTTCATACGCCAGTGAATCTGATATTAGATCTTCAAGAGGGTTATCTGATGAACTCAATTTTACCATGTGAGTTGGAGCTTGAGTTAAAAAGGCTTATAAAGCAACAGCAGATACCTCATGAGAAGACGATACAACTCGCCTGCTAATTCTAGCAGAAGGATGTGAGGTTGAAGATGAAGATACAGTGGAGCTGGGGCTTTTCGATAAATAGAATAGGTTTTGAACGTAGAATGGGAAATTATTGTGTTTCCTTTGGCTCAACAATGCTTAGGAAGTTCGATTCATGAATGGTAATTCTCTCCTGGGTGGAAATCTCTAAACTCATGAGTACTACTTCAAAAAGAAAAGTATAATCCTAGACAGCAGTAAAGTAAGCACACATGCATAGATTATAGCAGTGAAGGCATAGAGTTGTACCATTAAAACAGCTTCGCTAAACAATTCATTTGTGCTCTCCAGTTGGGAATTGGATATGAAGTAAATTAGTCAGATAGTTTACTTCCTCAATCAAATAGATGGAAACAAGATTTGAATATAGCTCAAATGGATTAAGTATGAGTAACTTCCCTGAAACGCTAGAGGCTTGAATCTCTAGCCCATCCCTCTGAAACAGTTGATCTAACCAAAAACTAGCCTCCAGCCTGAGACAAATACAAACACCTGGAGTGATATGTGATAAAATGCATACCAACTTTCACAACCCGAGTAGACATATCTCTTAACACAATTCAATCATTAACTCTAAGGTTGTAGAAATTTGGTAATAATAACACCGCCAATCAAAAAGGGTTGGTAGTAACCCATGCAACTTTGATCGGGAAAAGGAAAAAATCAGTCATTTAAAGTGAAGCAATTTTGTGAATCAAATTCAGTATAACCTACCTACATCAACAAGACTGAGGCCATCGGGAGGCGCCGGAGGTACAGTGGCACGTCGACATGTGGCACCCATCAGCCGTATTAACGCATCCTCTCAAGCACCAGCTGTTAGACGAACATGACTCTTCACAATAGTATGATATTGTCCACTTTGAGCATAAGCTCTCATGGCTTTGCTTTGGGCTTCACAAAAGGCCCCATGCCAATGGAGAGTATATTCTTAGATTATAAACCCATGACCATTCCCACACTTTCATCTAACAACACCTCCCCTCGAACAAAGTACCCCCTCCCCTCGGACTCCTTTGGAGTCTTAGTCATTTTTTACTGCCTTCGAGGAGGCTTGACTCCTTTTTTCTTTTTGGAGTCCTTTGTTCGACATTCGAGGATTTGCCAATCTATTGGCACGGCTAAGTTTAGGGCATGGCTCTGATACCATTATAGACGAAGAACACGACTCTCCACAATGGTATGATATTGTCCACTTTGAACATAAGCTCTCGTGGCTTTGCTTTGGGCTTCCCAAAAGGCCTCATGCCAATGGAGAGTATATTCTTAGATTATAAACCCATGACCATTACCTAACTTAACCAATGTGGGACACTTTCATCTAATACCAGCAACTGCCTCTCTAATTGCTGTCGCAACAAGCACCGGTACCATCTGCAAGGTCATCCTTACATTACGTTCCATTATAATTGGCTGAACTGCTGAAGGACAAGGATTCCACAGAAGATATAATAATTAGTGTCATGTAAACGTGAAAGAGCCATTTACGGCCTAATGGATGTATCACCATTTGCTCAAACGGAAGGGAGATTCCCTTGCAGATGTATAAGATCTTAACCCTCCATTTTAAGCAGTTGGAGAACAGATTACCCAAATCTAATTAGACCAATTTTACGTTCGGTAAATATAGTCTTCAGCATAGGCAACCCCGGAGACGATACCTTCAGTAAGAAGCAATTAGCAATCAAACAGCTCAACACACATAAACACATCTTCCTACTCCTTGGTCCTGTCAATAGTACACTAATTGGCTGAATATAGTTTGAATCAAAACTCCAACCTCTCTTACAATAATTCCTATAATGCAACATAAACTTCATATTGGCTCAATAGAATTAAAACAAAAACAGAATAAGAAGAAATGTCTTTATGTGAAGAAAGTAATAAATAGAATTAAACCAAAAAGAAAAAGAATTATGATACTTAAACTAGAAGCTAGAATAACTTCCAAAAAAGGGGCAATAATTGGTAAAATTCATGATTCTCACTCATTTCATGATGCTTTGGTGTCACGTGCAAACATCTTGTACGACAATAACCTTCCTTCTCGTTTCCTAAGTAGTTGGTTGGCCCTCCTTACACTAAACGTTTGAGGCTTATCAGGCGACACAAGGTCCTCATCATTCTCACAAGTTATTTGACATACCCTTCCAACACTTTGGGCATAGAGCAGTCGGGACAAAGTCAACTATTTGACTATTTGAGTGATTTAGTGAAGCACAACAAAAGTGGATTTCAGAAAACGGATATGATGTCTATTCATCACAACTATTAAAGATGTCAATAAATAATATATAAGATAAAATTTATTCTAACATATGAGTTCATTTTTAAGCTGAGATTGAATCTAAGAAAATCAAGGAAGAGTAATGAAATTCAATATCCAAGCAAAAATTCATGTCAACAGAGATTAAGAAGCCAACATACAGAATAAACCGTGTCGTCACCCCTTTGTCAGTGCGCCCAGCAAGCAACCCACAGCACATCCTACTGTTGGTAAGCATCTATCTTTCAGCAGCTGAGCTTTCTTCTCATCTACAAACTTCCCTAGAGATCTTTATACCAAGCTGCCAAAGGATACAAGTAAACATAACCTTCCAATATAAAAGCAGCGTTTTCTGTCTCTAGATTGAAATCAAACTGTTTATACATCTAAAGATATTAAAATATTACTTTAAACCACATAATGGAAGAGAAGATACAGTACCAGAAAGGTTAGATTAACAAGGTTGATCGACTTAATTTGGACATTGTCCTCAAGACGAAAGTTTCACTTTGTATGGAGGCCATATGATTTTCAATTGTATCTCTAGAACTAACTTCTCAAACGTTTTCTCAAAATTACAAGTTCTTAACAATCATTCAGTTTCAAAGCTCCCAATTTCATACGATAGTACTTGCATATTGTAAATTTCCTAAAATAAGCTTACCCCTGAACAGTATTCAAGCCTGGCTGCTTTTGCCACCCATAAAAAGAAACCTCATGGAAGGAAAGAACAATCTTAAATGTTGCCCTAGCCCACCTCCCAGTCCCATCTTTAACTGAAACTCTGTTTAACTCTGCTATGTAGTAAATCAATGGAGTTTCGGCATCATTAATGATCATGACCTATCTGTAGATGAAGAACTGTATACAATAACTAAAAAGAAATCAACGATATCTTCTAGTTTTTTACAAGATAACAAAGTACAAAATTTTCCTTCCCATTTCTCCTTGTTGTAATCAACCAATGAAATTAAAACAACATTATTTAAAGAACATGAACGTGATCAACAAATCAAATGCAACAATTGATAGCAAGGATCATATTAAAAACCATATCCAGATCTGAGAATTGAAGAAAAACTTGGAACATACACAGTTATAGCAATCGCCAGTCTTAGATGGCAGCCATTATTTTAAGAACGAAAGAACCAGCACAAAAAGAAATACGATTCCTTCAGGATATAGGAAGTCCTACAACAAACAAATACATTATTCTTGCTATTTTCCCTACAATTTTAGGATGCAGGAAAAGGATTCAAAATTGTTTTCAACTTTTCTTGGGATTGCATTGCATGAAGCAAAAGAAAGCAATCATAGATATCAACGTCGAGAGATGGCGAAAAACTATCCAACTACAATATTGTGACGAAAGCAGCTTAAGATATATAAATATTGATCTTTAGCACTACAAGAGAGAGGCATCCATGTGCTCGCAAAGGAGAGAAAGGGAGACCTAGCTCACGATTCCATTGCTTCCATTTCAAGAGAAGGAAGAACTATAGAGAAAGAGGAACGAAGTTTACAGAAAATATTGATATTGGAGACTCGCCTCAGTTCCAAACAACGAGGACAGTGAGAATCTTCCATTAACAGCATGAAAGTAAGAATCAAGCACTTCTTGCCACGGACTTCCATGCATGAATTGGTAGCTTCGCCAGGTGATAGCATAACAACAGCTTGATTGACTACCTTGTCAGATTCAGATTGAAAAACAGAAACAAAAACAAAAACAAACAAGTACGACGCTCATACAAGAGATTAAAACCTAGAATCAATAAAGCAATATATAATGAAAATGTACGAAAGAAAAACCTGGCAGTCCATCTCCCATTTCTGCAGCGATCAGTGTGGTTATAGTGAAGATAGTCCTTTTGCTGAGCTCGATTCTCAATCAGAATCCTTAAATCCAAACCGAAAGTCCAGCCCTCGGCTGTGGTATCATAACCATCGTTCGCCCTGCCTGAGCGGACACTGTATTTGAAGTTGCAGCCGCCGTCGCAGCAGGGACGAGACTGTAAATCCACGTAGATGATACAGTCAAGCAGATGAAAGATGGCAAGCCGATGTTGGTCCAACTGGAAAAGCCCAATAAGTCCGCCATTACGGGCCTACCTCGACTCACTTAAGTCAGTAGTTTTGGGCCCATAGATATAGGCCCAATCCTATCTCGGCCCACAAAGAAAATAATTGGCCTTTTCCCCGTTCGTGGTTGGGGGAGCAAAGGAGGGTGAAAAAAATCTCACGGGCGGAGACGCTAAATTTATTTATTTAATTATTTATATTATTATTATTATTATTATTGTGGTTATATAAAATTAAACATTACTTTTATTAAATAAAAATTGAGCTAAATTATTAAAAATATATATATTTTTTAATTTTATGCCTTCAAAATTTTCAATAATTACCCTTAAAAACTAAAAAAAACATGAAAATGTTTTACTTTTTTTTAAAATTCTTTTAAACTTTCATATTGATTTTAAAAATACCCTTTATACCTTTTTTTAAAAAAATATTTTTATCAATATTTTAACTATAATAATATTTATTAAAAAAAAAAAAAAACAAGAAATGGTGGTGAATGATGGGTAACATAAGAAATAAGAAGACATGTTTTTCACATGTTCTAGGTCAGTTCTCTCTATTTTTGGAACATGAAAAACATGTCTCCATTTTCCTTTTGTATATTTTATTTTTATAAAATAATTATAATTTCATGTGCATTAAATATTTATAACATAGTCTATTAAAATTATATTTACAGCGTAAGAAGCAGAAGAAAATGGAGAATCTGTGTTTCTCTCTCTTCATAATCTTAGCTTCGTTTCTCTCTCTTGCCCTGTTCATCCTGTTCTACCGCCACAGAGCTCAATTCGCCTACCCGAACATTCCACCGGGCAGCTTCTGGTATCCGATCATCGGAGAGACTCTTGAAATGGCTTCCTACGAGAAGAAAGGGCAGCCGGAGAATTTCATTTTTGGTCGGGCGGCCAAGTACAAGACGGATGTTTTCACTACTTCCGTCATTGGGAAACCGACGGCCGCCTTCTGCTTGGCGGCGGGGAATAAGCTTCTGTTCTCGAACGAGCAGAAACTGGTGACGCCGTGGTGGCCGCCGTCTGCTGATAAAGTTTTTCCGTCGACCGTTAAGTATAGTTCTAGTGAAGAAGCGAGGAGGATTAAGAGTTTTCTCCCTTAGTTCATGAAGCCCGATGCGCTTCGGTGATATATCGGAGTCATGGACGCGATTGCTCAACAGCACTAAGAATGAAGTCGTTGTCGTCGCTCCAGCTATCAAGGAGTATGTCTCTCTCTTGACTTTACTTTTAGTTTATCCAAAATGTCTTGTATATATGATGTATTCTTTACTTATAAACACATGATTAAACCTTAATTAGCGGATGTGGGACGCATCTCCCAACAATCCTTCTCTCAGACAAATTACATCATAGAGTCTCCCCTAGACTTATGGAGCCCTCGAGCAACTTTCACCCCTTCTCTAGCCCTCAAACAAACTATATCATTTGTTCGACACTCGAGTCACTTTTGACTACACCTTCGAGACACACAACTTCTTTGTTCGACATTTGAGAACAAAGTACATCATAGAGCCTTCCCTAAGGCATGTGGAGCCCTCAAACAACCTCCACTCCTTGTCTAGAGCCCTCAAACAAAGTACACGCTTTATTCGACACTTGAGTCACTTTTAACTAACACATTCGAGACCCATAACTTCTTTATTCGATATTTGAGGATTAATCCTTCTCTCGAACAAAGTACATCATAAAGCCTCCCCTTAGGCCTATGAAACCCTCGAACAGTCTCTCCCCTTAATTGAGACTCGACTACTCCTCTAGAGCCCTCGAACAAATTTTACCATTTGATTGACGCTCGAGTTACTCTTGACTACACCTTTAAGAATCACAACTTCTTTGTTCGATATTTGAAGATTCTATTAACATGACTAAATTAAAAACTTATTTATTTGACCTTTGAGAATTCTATTGACATGACTAAATTAAAGACTTATTTGTTCAACATTTTAAGATTCTATTGACATGACTAAAATAAGGGCATGATTCGAATACAGCTACACATTCTATCTCGCATATCCGCTGTTCATGAGCGTGAGCGTGGAGGATCCAAACGAGGTGGAAAGGATCTTCAAGAGGTTTGAAGAGATAGCGTCGGGGATCATATCAGTGCCCATAGACTTTCCCGGAACGATGTACAGGAAAGCCATAAAGGCGTCGGAGTTCGTCAGGAATGAGCTGTCGGCGATCATAAAGCAGCGGAAACTAGATCTGGCGGCGGGGAAGGCCTCGCCGACACAGGACATTCTTTCCCACATGCTATCGACCTCCAACAGCAGCAGCCAATTCATCCATGAAGAAGACATGGATTCCAAAATTCTCGGACTTCTCGTCGGCGGCCACGACACCGGCGTCTGTACCTGCACTTTCATCGTCAAGTACTTGGCTTCTCTTCCTCACGTCTACGAACATGTCTATCATGGTAATTTTGTCTTAAAAAAATGCTTAATTAATTTAGATAAAAATGTTTTAATAACGGTGGGAAATAATTAGAGCAAATGGAGATTGCAAAATCAAAGGAAGCAGGCTCTTTGCTGACGTGGGAAGATCTTCAGAAGATGACGTATTCATGGAATGTTGCTTGTGAAGTTCTTCGGCTCCACCCTCCCGTTCAAGGCGCTTTTAGGGTTGCCCTCACCGACTTTACGTTTAATGGCTTCTATATCCCCAGGGCTGGAAGGTAATTTCACATATCCTCTCGTAAGTAATTAAACTACGAGAACTTATGATCAAAGTGGATAATATCATACAAATCTATTTTAATTGCAGTTATATTGGAGCTGCAGACAAGTATTTCGACGATCCATTCAAATTCGATCCAACTAGGTTCGAAGGGAGCGGTCCGGCGCCATACACGTACGTTCCGTTCGGCGGAGGGCCGAGAATGTGTCCCGGCAAAGAGTACGCAAGGCTGGAGGTTCTTGTTTTCATGCACCATTTGGTCAAACGCTTCAAATTCCAACTTTCCATTCCCGACTAAAAAGTCGCCGCCAATCCAATTCCTTTCCCCGTCCACGGCCTTCCGGTTCGCCTATTCCCCCACGCGCCGCCTGATTCCCGCCCGTAAACCTCCACCTCCTCTCTTCTCCTTCAATGGATCAAACTGCCACGTCACCCTCTACCTCCGATTCCCTCTTTGCTTTGATTAATAAATACTCGTGCCAGTCATCTGCCACGTGTCTCACTTTTGTCGTTACCCCTTTCATAGTCATCATCTTTTCTATCACTATAATTCCATTATTATTTTTTTTATAGTAACTCAATTAAGATATAAAATATTATTATTTAATGAATAATAAATATAATATAAAGTCCGTGAAATATATTAATGTTTGTGCTTATAAAATATTTACAATTTTTATTTCTTTATATTACAATAAAAACATTTGCAGTAGAAATATTTAGGTATCGCTATTCTTGACGTTTCAAAACCTTTAACCGATACTCTCCAAGAGCCCATATAGGAAATATGTTTCTATAGGCCGAGTAACTGATCGTACAACTCTTGTTGAATACTCCAATAATTTCCTACAAAAAAAAAAAAAAAAAAA